TCTGAAATGCAAGACTTTATTAAATTGTAAATTCAAAACACACTTCGCACCAACTCAACTTTGACATTTATGTGTGATGGGTGATACAGCAGTTTGAAAAATGTGTGTAAGAAAGTGTTGTGCACCGTGACCCCTTCATACCAAAAACCTGACAGAAGGCATCTGGGCAACTTCACATTGAATTGACCCTAAGAATGAATGTCACACATGGCTGTGGATATGTTTAGACTCTGAAGATACAGTAATACACCTTACAGTTAAAAACAAAACCACCAAAATGACCTGTGTTCCATCTGATTTATATCACAAGTCACTGTGAAGTTACACAGAGACACCAAACTCATTTGGTGTACCTTTCTTTCTTTCAAATTGAATGAAGCCTCGTTCACAGTATAGTTTGACTTGATGCCCCTCACATGAAGAGAATAATGTAAAACTAAGATTCTGCTCTGCATGCTTCTTTAAAAATCTCTACATCTCCAAATTTACTTTCTCTTGGCTCAATTATGTGCCACATTTGATGCTGAAATTTGATCTTAGGTTTAATAACTAGGAGACTTTTGCTCAATTGGTCCGAACTTCTCACATTTATCCTGGTTTATGTCCTCGCCACTAACGAAGAAAGGCCGGAAGAACCCTAAATGTTATATTTATGCCTGCATGTGGTTCTGTGTGTGTATGCAGTGTGCATATCTGATCCAAGAGGGAAACTCCCTGTGATAATTCAAGTGTTGTCAGCAGTCAGACAGATCAATGTTTATTGCTGCTGCTGCTGTGTCTGTGTATTTGGCTGCATCTGTGTTATTATGAGTCCTTACTCTGTTTATTTTTGTCTGTTCATGTTTGCCGCTGTGCACGTGTTAGTTTGTTTGCTGTTACTTGTTGATTTTTATTTGCACAGATTCGTACATGACCTTACTTGTGTGTAGTTTCATGTGCATGTGTATGCCAGCAAGGGCTATGTATTACCAGATGTTATTCTGTTATTTACTGCAGGCTATTTGTGCCATGGATTAAAAGCAAGTAACTATTGTTTTGCTGTGGTCTAAAGGGAAACTACCTGATGCTGCAGGTTGGCTGGAGATTTTAAAGACAGCTTTTACAGATTTTCACAAGTGGTGATGCTTCCATGCAACACTACACAGGTTTCATACTGCAGGACAGTTTAATCAATCATTTGTAAAAATGGGTGACCAGAAATCGAAATAAGATTGTTTGGAATAGAAATGATTTTACATGTACAATGATATTTATAGGTTCAAAAGGCTAATTTGTTACACTCCTTTGACTCAGGCTGTTTGTGCTGCACCTGTTTGAATGCCCTACATACTCCAGGGGGGAAGTTGTCATCAGTTCTGAAAGTGCTTGTGAGAATAATGTTCGTATCTGTGTGTGTGTATGTGTGTACTTGGCTGGCAGAGAAAGATGGCCGGGTCTATGTTCAAGGTTCCTCTCCTTTGGTTGAGTGTACATAACTTGTGATTTACTCAGTGAACAAAACAAACAGTGTTGAAGGCTTAAGCTATTTTTTTCCAGTCACGTTGCCATACAGGATTGGCCAGTGATTTGTTGTCAGTAATTTGTTGATTTAGAAAAAAATCTCACTGAACAAGACTCATTTTGCTGTGATTTGGCATTGGTGAACCCCTTGAAGCATTGATTTTCTTATACTTACTACTATATATGTAAATTATATTGGATGTATGTTGATGGATGGAGTGATGGTGATGGCTCAAGTAAATGTACTGTTGCTATGATCAGAGGTAAGGCAAACATGATAAAAAAAAATGATATAAAATAATCAGATCAAGATAGATTACTGACTTTTTTTTCATTATCAGACACACTGTAGAGTTCATCTGAATAAACAACAACTTACATGTCATTTTCTTAATTGGATTGATGTGAATGCCAGCTTTAAGTGTAAAGTTTCTAAATCTTAATGTGCATATACTGTTTAACATACACGTAACCCTCTAAACATCACCCGAGAGGAGGCATGCTATGTGTAAAAACATCAGGAAATGGTTAAAAAGGATGTTCAGCCAATCTACTGTACTCCATCCACCACTGCATTTAGAAAATGATCCAATGCACGCACGCACGCGCGCGCACGCACACACACACACACACACACACACACACACACACACACACACACACACACACACACACACACACACACACACACACACACACACACACAGTGTATTAGTATTCATGATGCATTACAAATGAGTAAACCCATGCATAAAAACCACAGGGAATGGTCAATTATTCCAGGTTCATGTTCTCTCCGTCCCACAGTAGAAGTGCTTCAATATCAATATCTATATATATCAGTGTTTCTCAAACTAGTGCTTTGGGCTTTTTCTCATGGGTCCATTTGATTATATTAGATAAACTTACACCATCACTGGAATCCAAGATCTCATTCCATTCAGTCTTCAGTGTTTATGTATCACAGCTTTCTGTTGTCATTACTGGTATTGAACAGTTTGTGTGAAGCTTTGCAGGCAGTAGTTAAAGATATCATGAATAACACAAGATAAAGCACAATGATTTGCTGATAACATGTTTTCTAACATTTTTTATCTGGTGATTCTAATTTGGGACCCGTTGCTTTGACACGAAACAGTTTAGGTTCATAATGTATGTCTTGAACAGAGATTGATACAGCTATATGTGCAACACAGTTGTTTTCTTTATCGTCAATATGTTGCAGTTGGAATTTTTTTGTTTTCTGTAATAATTGTTTTCTTTATTAATTTGCTTTTAATTAATTCTTTAGAATCTCTTAAGATCTTTTTTGTCACTGCCTTGTCTGCCAGCTTTGTCTGTTTCCCAGTTTAAAGGATGAATAAATGAATGATTGAAGCATCTGCACGGTCATGAAATTCATATCACTGATTCGAGGGTGTCTGCATTTCCACTTCAGAAGGTCAGCATGTAAAAAGGGGGAGAGATGAGGAGATATATCTAGTGAGATAAAAAAGTTATCTTTTATGTTCCATCTTATCTTATCTTCTATTGTTTTTAACACAACCAGTTTAAGTAAAATTGTGTATTTGTTTCATGGAAACCCTTGAGGTTATTTTAAAGACATTTTTGCATACCTGTGCCATTCAATATAGGAAGAGAGGACCATTTATGCATTGAATTTGCTCAGTAATAATTTTCGCCAGGATGCAAATTTCTTTACAGGCCAAATAGCTTCTGTGTAGCCTCAGGACATCAGGCTTCTGAAACACATTTTACTCGTTTCAGTTGTCAAATTGTTTTTATTCTCTGTTTCATTTAATGCAAATATTTCTATGAAAAATGTTGTCCAGGTCAAGACTGTACAATGAACCATCCTTCATAACCTGTAGTCGGTCTCTCTGTAGGAAATTTAAAAGATTTAGTGGATTATGCTGTCTCTCTAACTGTGATAGATAGCTCACACCTGCTGCATAGTCTAAACTACAGAATTTCCACTAGTTCTACTTATCCCTTCCTTCCTCTATCATATCTCTGTCCTCTCCTCCCATTTCTCTTCTGCTCTAATTTCTCTCTCTCTTTTTTGCTTGTGTGATGAATTTTTCACTGATCTTGTCTCTGTTCAAATAACCTTTTCCTGCTTTGTCCCTTACTCCACTTTTACAAGTGTATTTCTTTTAATCTTTACTTTCTTCCTTTTCCCCTTCTTTTCTCTCTTCTCTGTGTTCCCAACTGTCGCTTATGGTCAGTCTGTCTATGTTCTTTCCTACACACACACACACACACACACACACACACACACACACACACACACACACACACACACACACACACAGACACAGACACACACGCGCAGTCACTCACACACTGAGAGTTCATTAAAGAAGCTGTGAGGCCGGATCCACAAATCAAACTGTGTAAATAAGCTATTTTTTTCCTGCAGACCAGTCACAGCTGTTGCCATGGCTACCTGTTGCACATCTCAAGGGTTACCAAGGACAACCTTTAAGTGTGTGTCTGCATATGTGTATGCATACACTATTTTCTGTGTGTGTGGTTGCAGGAGGGGGTACGAGTAGGTTTCTGTGTGTATGACAGTGCACAACGACCTAGCAGACTCTGTCTAATTCCTGGTGCTCATTCAATTTTATGTATATATCCTAGCCTTTGTGGCATTTCACTTTAGCTTGTTACAGTGTCAAGGTGCCGTGTCATAACTTGAGTTTTACCACTCAGCAAGGAAGTTTTGGGGGGGCGGAAACTATGTCCCAGTGATTAACATAGGTTCTGTACATTTTTGTGATAAAACTGCAAGATAAAATCCTCAAAGAGTCCCTCAAATGTTTCCTGGAAAAGTTGCTGTGATGGGAAGAGCCTGTTTATGTGGCATTCATCCCAACAATGTACAGTATGTCACCTGGCAGCTCCAGCACCAGTGTAGAAACTGTCCATTAGGCCCTTGTTAGCAGAGATGAGGAAAAGTTTGCATATGTGCGTGTCTTCGAATGTGTGTAAACAGACAGACTAATGGACCTGACTGAAATCCAAACACAGGAACTGGCAGGTGATCAATGCTGTTTACTTCTAGGGGGTGAAGTGTGCTGGCTTCTCTCAGCTGGTTGAAGGTTAGAGAGTGTATGGTATGCAATGATTGATTGTTCAGAGTACTTGAGACCTTCAGGTTAATCCTGAAAAAGAGATGCACATTTCATTGAGGCTTAAAACTTTTAAGGTGTAGTAGTGTAGTGTAGTAAACAGAGTAGATAAAATGTCTCATTTTGAATCCCTCCTCTCTGATTTCTCTTCTCCTTCCATTTCTTTACTTGTATGAACAACAGCAGTCTCCGCTGTCCTTGGGTATTTCATACCTTCTCTTCATCTCTCTCACTCTGTTTTTACGCATTCAGTCTTTTTCTCTTGACTGCGGACCTAAAATACCAGCTAGATGATGTGGCATGTGGAAAAAGTAGGATCGCTAATGTCTTTTCTGTCTTTTGCTACTCTTTATCTGTCCCTTCCAGAGCGTCAGCTGGCCAACAGTATGACCAGCAGCAGCAGTTCTATTCCTCCCAGTGTCAGTGGGATCAGTAAGGAGCTGGCAGAGGTGCGCCACCTTGTTCAGTTCCCAGAGGAGATCGCCTGTATCCTCACCGAGCAAGAGCAGCAGCTCTACCAACGGGTGGGAACACAAACACACATCTGGGTCAAAAAATGAAAGAATATTTTTTTTATTGTATTGTGTTTCTGTATTGCACAAGAGTTTCAAATTGGGTTGGATAAGGTTGGATAAAGACATAACGAGAAAATGACTAGCATGTCAAGAGAAAAGGTTTATTTCTAAGCTGGCAATAATAATAACTCACTCGTCTATCCCTTCAATACTGTGTCTGTCTGCAGGTCTTTCCCTTGGACTACCTCTGTTTCCTCACTCGAGACCTGGGCAGTCCAGAGTGTCAAACCAAACGACACCCAAACCTCAAGGCCTCGCTGTCTGTGCCCACCATGCCTACCCAGAGTGCTCAGCGAAGTAACGCTGTGGAGGACCTGGTAGCGCGCTTCAATGAGGTGAGGAGTCTGCTTATATAAAATTTATTTTTGTTTGAAAAATTACTTAAACAAGTAATCAATGAACACAAAGTTGCTGATTCATTTTCTGTGGATTGACTAATCAGTTAATTCATTATTGCTTTAGCTCTCCTTCAGACCTAAGATCTACATGTTTTACCCTGTTTGTGTTGTGACCTTTTGAAGTCAGTAAGCCTAATTCAACTTTAAGAGCTGTGATTCATCATAGTAACCTTGCACAGTCTACTACGGTATATCTCACAGGCTCACTTTTTACTACATGATGTAAATCTGGATGAGATCACTTGTGAATCTATGATAGCAATCTAAGTGGAATAGTTTCATGGTTTGACTCCTAAATGCTTTGAAAAACTTTTCAAACAAGACCATATAGAGATGTTATTCATGTTGGAAGAGGGCACTTGTCATCTATTGGGAAAATATTAATAAAAAAAACAGTGCTTCCTTCGATCGTGCCCTTTAGTGACCTCCCCTTAATGACATCTTCAGAGATTGCCATTTGACATGAAAGTTTGAAAAGCATAGCAGACCAGTAATTGTGTTTTCCTTCAGCTGGGCTTGCCTGGTTGTATTTGCTGTGCGAGTCATATCAACTTATCAGCTCATGACTGAAGCACACACTGTGTCCACACATGCATGCACACTCACAGCAATGTCTAAGCAACTTACACCGCTGAGGTTGCTCTTCCCTTGTGTCTTTTCTGGTGAGTGACATCGAGAATAAACAATCACAATGCCGTACTGCTGAGAAAGAGAGCGCGAGAGAGGGAGAGATTGATTGGAACTGATGATGTCATCTTTAGGTTGCATGCCTTTCACATCAGCTGGTTTTCATTTAAGTCGGCGGGAGCAGGGACACACAAAAAATAGTCTCCCAAATGTGTGTTGTAGCCATATATGGGCACAATGGAGTCGAATGACAACAGTGATTCTCCATCTGAAGACACTGATGAAGCCCTGAAGTGGCTTCAAATTGTGACAGATGAGATACCATCCGAGTATTCTGTCTTAGCTTAGAAAAAGGTTCTTCCATCTTTTTGAATGAACTTTTAGTTCTCCTTCACATTATAGGGAGTTGTTTCTTATTCTTTAACAACTCAAACAAACCATTATTGGCACTGTTACAAATCAAGATATGATTCATCAATGAATCCATTCATCCGGCAATAATGACAACAATTCATGTATTCTCAAATCTTTCAAATCTCTCTTCTCAAATGGGATGAATTTTTTGTATTCTGTTTGTGAACTGGTCTGGAACTTCTGATTCATTACATTAATTTTGCCCCCTACTGATACAACAACAACTACAATTAGTTGAGACAATAATCAGTATATTAATTGGTATTGACAATAATTTAGATGAAGTGCTAGTTACGATAACTTATTCTGGGTTGTGTTCTGTAATAGAAGATTTTTTTAGGTATTTAAAGTAACAATGTAGAAATACATTTTCACAGGTTAAATAAGATATGTTCCAAAAAAAAGATCTTAACTACAAGGAAAAAAGGTGACCATTATGTTGGTAATATTGAAGTCACCTTGATTAAGAACTGCCAACACTGCCCTGGGCTGGATCCACAGTTTTGAGATATTACATTTTTAGTCTTCACACTTGACAGACAACATTGTCTTGACATTTTCAAGCCATGTATGGGAGCGAAAGATTTTGCAGTTCAAAAAGGATAGCATGGCAAGAGAACTGTTGGATGCAGGGAAGGGCCAGCAGTTTGGGCCCCTTTGTGTCTGTCCGGACTGTTTAGCTTTGACAGGGTGAGTACAGTATGTGCTCATGGGTTGAGTTTGTAATAGTTCTCTGTCAACCTTGGTTATGTAATTCATGTATCAAGGAGAAACTGACCTTCATAATTCAACTAATAACACGCACCCAGATGGAGACAGACAGACGGACAGACAGATGGACACATACACAAACATCAAGGGGGATCAGCTTGTACCTAGCTCCGGTTCTCGCTCTATGTGTGTGCGCGCATGTGTTTGAATTTTTGTCAAGCTGCCATTGACAACGCTATATATGTAAGGGAGGCTCTTGTTTGAGGAAAGAAACTTTTTGCACAACTCCTGCTTTTCCTTGTATCTTGTTTGCTCTTTTCTGCTCTTCTGTGCCATTACACACTCTTCTCTATATATAGTACTTCTTCATATCTTGTCTTTTATCTCCCATTCACAACACTGAGGACACACTTTTGCTATCTGGAATATTAGAAGAGATGCCAGCTCTCTACACCACCTTGATCTGTGGTGATTCAAAAGCCACTTTGCAGGCTGTCAGAGGGGTTTAGATGGTGACTGTTACTCAAGCCAGCTGCCGACTAGAAGTGACTGATAGCAGATTTTCATGCAAGGTGCGCACATCCTGCACAGAGCAGGGGAGTAACAGATAAGCATATCTGAAGCTTTATTAGAGCGTGACGCTGCCTCCTTGCCAGCTCAGGAGAGATTTTTCTGAGAACAGTGACAAGTTAGAAAAGAATTTCTGTCGGTGATGAATAGAATCAGCTAATTACTTAATTACAGTGAGTTTGCAACGGCTAGATGAGGCTGTGCACTTTGTTATGATGCAATAGTGTTTGGAGAATTAATTAATTTTGTATGTTATTGTATGAATGTATTGGGAATGGTTAATTACAGTTATAGATGGTGATGATATTCAAGGATTTCTTGGGTGAATTGTCCCCTTTATGGATAGTGACAGTAAAGCTAGAGACAGGAAACATGGGGAGAGAGTAGGGGGTCTGACAGGAAGCGAAGTTCCCTGAGTGGAAACAACTTTACTTGGTATGCATCTCAATCACTACATTACCAGGAGTGTCTGATGCTCAAGGTTGTTCAAATTAATGATAAAACACTAAAACCTTTGCAAGTTAAGTAAGACTGTGAAAATAGTGGCTTTTACGTTTACATTCAAGTCACCTGGTTAGTTAATAACTGTGCTAGATAGCTGGATACCAACAGCAATGTGGCGCGATGATGTGCAACCCAAGATGCTCTTCTTATCTGATATTTACTGTAGTTCAAAGGCAAAAACATTAAAAGTACAGTTTAGAATGATGTGGTAATGTGGTAACATTTCCTTCCTGATGTATCATTTTAGTTTAGAAAAAAACAGTCTCACTACAGGATCTTTTTAGTATTTCCAGAATTAAAGGTGTTAAAATATACATTTTTTGGTGCATGTTAGCTTACCAGCTGAGGTTCAAAGTTCATTCTTTACCTCGATAACAACAGTTTAGAAAACATTCCCAACGTAAGAACCATTTAGTAGCTGTTCTGGCGCTTTCAATCATATCACTTGATCGTCATCAGCAGATGGAGATGGAACACTTAAAAAAGGAAATGTTAACATCTACGGTTCCATGATAAAAAGGAAAGTCGGCGATGTGAAGGTGTGCAACTTTAACTTAAGTGTTCTTTTTTCATGTTTCTCAGTTTGAGTAAATCAAAACATGACGTTAGTGAGGAGACAGTTAACTGCCTGAGATGGATTACATTTTCACAGTAACCTTCCCAACCCCCAGCCCTTCTTCGGCCCATGCTTCTATCACATAGGAATGCATAAATTGGTGCGCTTTCACTCGTATTCGATAGGGAGAAAATGTGAGACTTAACAAACCATAAAACTATTAAGTTAAGTGAGTTTGAAATTATGTCTGACAAATAGAATTTAGCACTTCATCAAAGACTGTAGATCATATGTTCATGAAGTAAGTTCTGTGTACGTACAAGCTCTTATCTAAGATGTGTGTATATACTGTGTGTTAAATTGTATATATGCTTGATATGTGAGTATTTATGGTCTCATACCTAGTGTATGTCAATGGGTCTGTATTCTGTAGATGGGCACGGGGGTTGGTTGCATGTATTATGTATAATTTCTGTGCTTGCTTGTGAATTAATCAAGTGAGGGGTCGGAGGTGACGTGAGGGAAAAAAAATCACATTTTACTAGTGGTTCATCACAACAAACAAAAATCTTTGAAACTCAGTACTTTGTTACATTTCGTGTGTGTGTGTGTGTGTGTGTGTGTGTGTGTGTGTGTGTGTGTGTGTGTGTGTGTGTGTGTGTGTGTGTGTGTGTGTGTGTGTGTGTGTGTGTGTGTGTGTGTGTGTGTGTGTGTGTGTGTAGCTTTATTTAGTCCCTGTGAAGTCAGTCTGTGGTGGGCTTTAAAGATCCTTACATAACCCAGTAATAGATCTCTGGGCCAGGGGGATGTTTTTACCGCCTGCAAAGGGGTTAGGGAGTTTCAGTGTGTGTGTTCTCTATGTTTGTGTGAATACATTCATGAGGCTCAAACACATAGAGACACTAGAAGAAGCAGCCAGATTGAAATCTGATCTTTTCCTGTATTGTATGTGTGTGCATGTCAGTGTTTCTATGTCATAGAGAATGTTAAAGGAAGCTGACCCTGATACATATCTGCTTCTTCCATCATGTCTTTTGTGCGTGCTAGAGGGCAGTCAGTGCAGAGACAGAGTGCAGTCAGTGCAGAGACAGAGTGCAGCTGATAGATATCTGATCGCATTCTTTCTTGAGTGTGTGTGTGTGGCCAGCTGCCGTAGTCCTGTGCATACATTACTGGACCACTTTAGACACAGCTTGCCATACCAGAATTTAAAGAGATGACACGAGCACAAGTAAGACCACACACAATACAGTTGTTTCATCTGACCGTCACTTGGCTATGGACCTCGTCTCCTGTTCACTGGGTTTTAACACACCTAGTAACAACCTTGTAGTAACACTAACACAATTTACAAATCATCCTGTGGTTTGGTACATGAAGTCAACCTTTATGTGGATTGTCTAATCAGAAATCTCTTATTTTCATGTAGTGACATGTAGCATATTGCACCAGTACTAAGGCTTAGAAGATATTTTATCACTGGAGAGGGCTAATTTTTTTCTGTTTAAATTCAAAATATTTTTATTTTAAATATTAAATATGGGTATGAATTAAAAATAACACATTTTAAAAAAATATGTCCTTCTACCAGGTACAACTTAACTGTGTTTCATGAATGATTACATCTTTACTCTAATTAGTTCTGGTGGAGAAGTACAGCCTTCAAGAGTATAGTTAGTTAGTTTATCATCTCTAATGTGATCTAACTTGTACCATTATATGTAAAACTCTGTATACAGGTGAGTTCATGGGTGACGTGGCTGATCCTGACAGCAGGATCCATGGAGGAGAAGAGAGAAGTTTTCTCCTACCTGGTCCATGTGGCCAAATGCTGTTGGAACATGGGAAACTACAACGGTGTCATGGAGTTCCTGGCTGGACTCAGGTTTTAAGACACACACAGACACTAACTCAAATACACTCACATACATTACACAGAGATGTGCATGTTTGTTTTGTTAAAAAAAAACTATACAACCACACAGAAAAAGGTTTTACCAACTGGAATTTGAGATTTTCTTTGACCTCCAGGTCCCGCAAGGTGCTGAAGATGTGGCAGTTCATGGACCAGTCAGACATTGAGACCATGAGGAGCCTTAAGGACGCCATGGCTCAGCACGAGTCTTCTTCTGAGTACAAGAAAGTTGTGACCAGAGCTCTCAATATTCCAGGATGCAAGGTAGGTTGCTGTTTATTCAGGTGAAGTTTGGGAATTTGTCCAAAATAACCCCTTTAAATCAGCATGTATTTGTTTCATGACTAATAATTCACATTATTTCTTTCTTATCTGACCAATGTGTTTTTCCTCACATCATAGGTGGTGCCATTCTGTGGGGTTTTTCTGAAGGAGCTGAGTGAGGCGTTGGATGGGACAGCAAGCATCATCAGCCTCAAACCTCCTCCAGATAATACAGAGGACTCAATAGAAGTACAGTAAACACCCACAAGCATCTAACCCTAACATACACACATCTCATAGAACTAATTTAAGCAGTAAGAATAATCCATCCTTCTTTGTTTGGTCCGTCCTCTCTCTAGTTTGTGTCTGACTACAGCGGCCAGCACAACTTCATGTCACGGTCTGGTCCAGATGGGCTACACGTCCCAGAAAAAGAAGCTACTGTCAGTAATATCCTCCAGATTATCAGGTACACTACATCCTTGAAAACGAAAAAATAGACTATCTTCTACTCACCTTTTATCAAATTTTTTTTTTTGGCATTTGACTCACCTCTGACTCTCCTCTTTCTGCTTCTCAGATCTTGTAATCGTAGTTTGGAGGCAGAGGATCCCGATGAGGCGTCCACTAGTCCCTCTTCTACTGGCCCGTCCCCTTCGTCCAGAAACAACTCCTTCAGGGACCGCTGTCGCAATCAGTCAGTCACCCCTTTTTTTTTTTTATATTTTGTTTATCCCAGTTCTTTCAGCGTGCAGCATCTTGTACTTAACAGCAACTCTGGGTCTCAAAAATGTGAGCATCGTGTTTAAGGATACCTTAGAAGAGTGAATGTTTTCTGTCGCAGGGTCTTGAAGCCATCCAGCTATAGGATGATCTGTGGGGGATGTTTTGCGAGTTGTGACTTAGCTTATGATTCATACAGTACAGTATCAAATGGCACATAGCATGTGACCCAGTCCATCAAGACACTGCGACATTATGTATCAGTTGATTGCATACTGTAGTTGTTGTCACTTTGTTCCCCTGGTGTTTAACTGAATTACTTCTTCATTCACTCACTTCTTCTATATTCTTTATTTTAATAATTATATACTTAGTCTCAATTTGTATAACACCATATTACTTTACAGACCACTGAAGTTGAATCTAAAGACACCCTTAACCTATTTAAAATGAGGCATTCCTTGAAGGCAGAAATATTCTCTTGTTTAGCATTATGACCCTTCCTGCCAAAGGTCTGTTTCCAAATTTGAGTTCTTTATTTCCCTGTTTGCTCACAGACAATGACTCATGGACAATGTAAAAGAAAATGGGTCTGTAATGTTCTGATTTACATCAGAACTATGAATACTGCCATACTGTGAATGATTGGTATGGCTGGTCTCTTACTTTCAATGCCAAAATACGCCTCTTGAGAAAATGGTCATAATATTGTCTAAACAATATAAAACATTGGTTTCCTTACATAATAGGAATGTGTATTCTGTACGGTCCATTAAAAGTACACATTGATATTTTACATTCACAGCACACCTTCTGGTGCCAGATGAACTGGATGTTTTCCAAACTCTTACTGAACAGTATATTGTCTTTCATAAACACCGGCACAAGATAATGGGTTTGTGAAGGAACACGTTTGCAGATTGTTACTGATATGAGGTGATGTTCACATAAACCCAAGTGTCACAGAAAAAACAGATAACAGGTTAGTTTCCTGTCAGGACAGGAAGGAACAGAGCTCTGGTACGTTTCAGCACACTGGTGGAAAGTGGCTAATGGCACAAGCTGGAATTTGGTCATGAAAATGTTGTTAGAAAGCATAATCATTTCAAGCTTGTTTGTATTAAGGGAACCTGGATTATCTTCCCTTTGTTTCTAGACAGTTTTCTCTGACTCTGATATATTATTTCATGTTAGAGCTCAGGAAAACAACTGTCTAAACAACTGTCTTTTTTTTGGCTTGGGTTATGGTGTTCATTTGTCTGTACTGGGATGCAGATAAATATTAACTTACTCAAAGAGGTTTAGAATCCAATTTTTTGTGTTCCTGATTTTTCTCACTGGCATCCTCTTTTTCCTCTTTTTCTTTTCTGTTCTGTGATCTTGTGTGGAAACCTTTCTGTACGCTCTTTATTCATCTCATTGCTCTCCCCCTTCTTTGTCCCCATCTCCCATTCTAGTTCACATTCATTTAGGATGCCACCAGAATCAAACCGTGTCTTGTAAGTGGTTAAAAGAGTGTCAGGCGTTTGAACATTAACATGGTTTCAGACGAAACTCTAGCGGTCAAGGAATGTGCAATGACAAGTGCATGATGCTTCTATGCTTGTTCAACCGATGCTCTACAGTACAGACACATTTTTTTTTTACTGTTTATCTTACTGTAGATGCAGGTAATTCCTTGTTGACTAGACCTCAATGCATTTTCTAAATAACTGCTTCTGATGCAGTAGTTCTATGAATTAACTTTGTAACTCAGCTACTAAATCTAGGTTAGGTAACTATTTTCTTTAACTTTTTCTCCTGTCCGTCTTCAGATTCATGGTAGGAGACTTGTCAGATTCAGAGGGCGACTTGTCGTCTGAACCGGTAAAGGAGGTGGAGTTTCAAGGCACTGAGGAGACACACAGAGCTTTCAGCCATGGCACTGAGCTCATCCCCTGGTAAGAAACACACACATACTCGCGCGCACACACACACACACACACACACACACACACACACACACACACACACACACACACACACACAAAGATAACTCAGCAGACAATCCATTCAATTTGTATTCTCTTTCTCTAGGTATGTGTTGTCGCTACAACCAGACGTTCACCAGTTTCTGCTGCAGGGGGCTACAGTGATCCACTATGACCAGGACAGCCACCTCACAGCTCGCTGTCTGCTGCGACTACAACCTGACAACACAACACTCACCTGGGGTAAATTATGACATAAAATGTGTCATTAAAAAAAAAATTAAATATAATTTAAAATACATGTGTATCTTTCTGCTGGGAACTGATTGTCATTAATTTTTTATTTAAAAAATGTTAATTCTAGAAGGACTGTGGGATTTGTTAAAGTGGATATGATAAAATTAACTTGCAACAACTGCTGAAAAGATTTACGTACACCAGTACATTTTAAGATGTTTATATGTCATGGAGACAAGCCCATTTCCTCTCTCATTATTACTCTTTAAACAAATGGAAAAAGTGCATCCATGATATAAAAAAATCATATTTCCTATGACATTATTATGTTTCAAACATGCATGTTTAGCCACAGTTAGTAAGTGTCATGACTTTATAACACACACAATTTAAACTGGTTGTAAGTTGCTCAATTTCCTATGCCTTTACTGCATTTCAAACATATCGTAAAAGTGTTGATTTATTGCAGGTAAGCCTCAGAGCGGAGGGGCTTCCCCCACAGATCCACCACTGGGATTAGGACAGACTGTAGTGGCTGGACTAGCAGAGGGCCTTTTGGACCTGGGTGTGGTGAAGGTTTGTTGAAAAATGTATTCAAGCAAAATATTGTAAGCTTAAGCTTTTTATTTAAATTTACATTCCATTCCAAATTGAGCTGCATTATTTCAAGTTTGGTCACAAAGTTTTCAAACATGCATTGCAAGAATATTCATTTATCTTGTATCTTGTGTATATACCAGTTTTGTGTTTTAAGCATTTAACAGTCACAAGTTAGAATGCACTTACAATAATATAATATTGTGTTTATTTGAATGTGCAGGCAGTGTTCCAAGGTCATCAGGGAGTCGATGTTCATGCTGTATGTTTGCAAAACAAGCTGAGCCAGATGACAGTGGAGGAGAATGGTCTCAGCCTCCTCTACGGTCTCAGTACCACCGACAACAGGTTAGTACCGCCATCACCCTGGTTTGAAATCCATATTTTGTACACTGGTGCATTGCTACACTGGTACATAGGTACAACACCTTGCTGTTTACTAAATAATTTAACTAATCTCCTAACTTCTGCCATTAGACTCCTGCACTTTGTGGCCCCCAACCACACGGCACAGATGCTCCATAAGGGCCTGTCAGAGTTGGTGAATGCAACCAGAAAATTAAAGAAGTTTCCTGACCAAAGGTTGCAGTGGCTGAGGAGGCAGTATGTCAGTTTGTATCAGGTAAACAATGTTTTAATTTTTTGTACACATGCCTTTTTTCCATAAGTGAGGATGTCCTTGCCTGTCTTCCTTCATGTCCATCTAATCCTCTGTACCTATGTGTTTATCTCTGTAAGGAGGATGGCAGGTATGAAGGTCCTACACTAGCCCATGCCATTGAGCTGTTTGGTGGGCGGAGGTGGAACATGGGTACAGGTGGAGTGGAAAAACCTGGCGGCCAGAAAAACAGCCCTCTCAACGATAAGACCAAGAAGAAGAAGAAGGTCCTTGTCAGGGTCAGTAAAAAAGTTCAATTTCATTATGTCACTGTGGCTCTCATAGTATGTCATATCTAGAACTCATTTAGCTGTCACTCTTATCAACAATGTGTGTTTACCTTGATACACCTACCAGCTCACACACTTAGTTTCTAATATTGAATAGTTACTTGTTTTTAACATAGCATGTGTGTTTACACACCCAACACAGGGAGACAGTGGGGATGCCACAGATGATGAGATGGTTTCCAGGAAAACACGGAGCTGCAAGGAGGGACTGTATCGAAATGGACCAGAGTCTGACAGCATTGACCAAGAAGATCCAGGTGACATTTAATGGAGCTATTAAGAATCAACAATTTTTACAGGGCATTAGGATCTTAACAGATAATTTCCTGTGATACTGTTTGATTTTTTTTTTTTTTCTACCCTCATTCCTCTTTGCCTCCACAGAGGACAGCTTCCCTGGACCATTCTCTCTCTCATCCAGCATGGCGGCGTCCAACCAGTCCCGCCCGCAATCCTCTCCGATCCTCTCAGGAACTGCTAAGTCACAGCCTGGGTATGACTATTACTGTATATGAAGACTGGAGGTGTGAAAGCCTTCACTTTCACTCAGGTTAATATATTTTCCCTTTTCTTTGTTGGTTGCAGGGCATGGAGCAGCAGGTCCTGGCACGGTCGAGGTAAAGGCTGTCTCAAAGGCTTCCAGAACCTCATGATTTCTGACAGCACGATGAGCTTCATTGAGTTTGTTGAGCTCTTCAAGTCCTTCAGGTAGATACCAAAAATTAGATACTGTTTTTTAACATTTTTAGCAGAGATTCGCATGAAATAAATATGCTTCTGTTTTATCTTGCCAAACTAAAACATTGATCAAACATATTTTCCTGGCCATATGTGATCATTCAACATTCATTAATGACCTGAAGCATTGATGTGTGTATACTGTACATGTTCCGTTCAGCCTTTTTGACTTCTTTATTTTCTTTTTATCCATAGCAGCTGAAGACAGTATGATAAAACAAATTCAACAAATTCTTTCCAAGGTTATCATGCCTACAACGTTTTCCAAGAATTCCTGTTTTTATAATATTTAGCTTCTATAATATTTTCCCCTGTCAAATGAAAGGAAACAATGTTTTGCCTTGATAAGCAGTGGATTATTGTCATACCAGCCCTCCTACATTTCTTAGATTGTAGTGTATCCTCTAATCTGCTGCCCAGCATTATGCTTTTTAAATTCCACTCTTGCTCAGCTATGCAGAGAAAGTGGAACTACAGTACTTCAACAGATCAGCCCCTCAAAAAAAAATTCTGCTTATTTTCCAAAGATGGTACCGGAGATGAATTGTATTTGGCCAATTGACCATTCTCTGTCCAGTGGCTAATTGTTTCACCTCCTACACATTCAGATTTAAGTTTCACACATAAATCTAACTCATGAATATTGAAAAAATTCTTCAGTCTTGCATCAGTTTGTTATCAAGAACAGTGAGAAGAGCTTGTAAAGGGATGTCTGCATTGAAACCAAATATTGCAACGTATAGAGGATATATGTTGAATGAAAGTCTATAAATGTCTTTTCATTCGGCCATGTAGATGTAGTTGAACGTATTTCAAGTTCAAGTACTCTGAAAAGATCACCTTAATTTAGGCTTCAAGAAAGCTTTTGGTGTGCTGATCTAACACAATGCTTCTGCACACATGCGTCTGTAGTGTAAAAATCTCCCAAATGGGGGCACCCGGTTAGCTCAGTGTGTAGAGCTAGCGACCCATGTACGGAGTTGCTGCATCACCCCGGGTTCGAATCCGACCTGCGACCCTTTGCTGCGTGTTATCCCCTCTCTCTCTACCCACCTTTCCTGACATATCATGTCACAATATGCCAATAAAAGGCCAGAAAATATATATATTCTGTTATTCCTCCACAGTATCCGAAGCAGGAAGGACCTGAAAGAGCTGTTTGACACCTTTGCCGTCCCCTGCAGCCGTTCAAGTCCAGAGTCTGCTCCTCTCTACACCAACCTCAGGATAGACGACAAAGACTCAGGGCTACAGCCGGACCTCGGTAAAAGATCAAACAATAAGATTCATTTATATATTGTCAGCCCTCCCTCTCGCCTAACCTCATCCTCTCCTTCCCAGACTTGTTAACCCGCAACGGCTCTGATCTTGGCCTGTTTATCCGAACGAGGCAGCAGATGTCTGACAACCAGAAGCAGATCTCAGACGCCATTGCAGCAGCCAGCATTGTGACCAATGGGACAGGAGTGGAAAACGCATCACTAGGCGTCTTGGGATTGGCTATTCCTCAGCTCAATGACTTTCTCATTAATTGCCAGAGAGAGCACCTCAGCTATGATGAGATTCTTAGCATTATACAGGTAGGAGTCTGGAGCCGGGAAGGACAGTGATTAAAAAGTGTTTTTAACATGAACTGGATGGTGGAGATGGAGGACATATAATGTAGCAAAATGAATAGAAAAAGAATAAAGGAAACCTGAGACATGAGGAAGGAAAATTAACTTTCGATCAATAATGGTAATTCATTATTTCTTGCTTTTCTCTTGCAGAAATTTGAGCCCTCATCAAGCATGAGACAAATGGGTTGGATGTCATTTGAAGCCTTTGCAAGGTACAGTAAAAATATTCACAAATACTATTTATAATCAGCCTTGTGTCTTGTTATCTAACCATCCCAATCTCCACACCAGGTTCCTGATGGATAAGGAAAACTTTGCTTCCCGTATTGAGGAATCCCAGATTAACCCGGAGGAGCTGCAGTATCCTCTGTCCTACTACTACATTGAGTCTTCTCACAACACCTATCTGACTGGACACCAGCTCAAAGGAGAGTCCTCTGTTGAGCTTTACAGTCAGGTCAGTGAGCCACCTGTCAACCTACTAAACAACTTCTGTGACCCATAGCTCCTATTCTGTATGTTTGTGTCTGATCATTATGTCATTGTTCACCAGGTGCTGCTGCAAGGCTGCAGGAGCGTCGAATTGGACTGTTGGGATGGTGACGACGGCATGCCAGTCATTTACCACGGACACACACTCACCACTAAGATTCCCTTTAAGGTTAGATATGCATTGGAATAATCTAATCAGTCACTGGCTCACCTTGCTTTCTGCTCCAATACGTCCTTGCATGGTTTATGTAATCAGAGTTCAACTAATCAGAGCCCTCAAACACCGTATTTTATTTGATGTTGTATGTAAGGGCTGATTCAGTAGATGTCATTAGTTTTGGTTTTCATAGAGATTTATTGTCCCTTGTTTAAGTTGGAGTGCTGTTTCTAAGAATTGAATCTCTCCCATGTTCCTCTAGGATGTGGTGGAAGCAGTTAACCGGTCTGCATTCGTCAATTCTGACATGCCCGTCATCCTGTCCATAGAGAACCACTGCTCCCTCCCACAGCAGCGCAAGATGGCTGAAATCTTCAAGGTATGACAGCAGCTACAAGATGGCTGAAATTTAGACATTGCATGAATATACAAGATATGACTTCACTTATCATCTATAGTCATCTATAGTATACTATTTTTTCCATGTGTGGTTTATTTGTTTCTGATGTTATAGACTGAAAACTTTAGTTTATATAAGCACACATGCTCCTTTTTCAGCAATTCCATGCTTTATATTTCACAATTTACATGCACCTACACCTTCAAGTAGTGAAGTTTCTAGTACAACCACACGTTTTCCTCAGTGGGATTTCGAGTAAGGGTAGTACTCCACTGATTAGTTTTTCCAGATTTTCTCAGCTGCCGTGGGCATTTGAACTGGCAGACTTCCAGCCAGAGGCTTGCTTTTCTAATCTCCAGGCTACAACTGTCCCTTTCTTCTTCTTTTTTAAGTTATACTCTAAAGGCCACTCATATTTGGGCATGACAGATACATCATGGAATATCATCTTACTTTTATCTAACAAAACTTCCCAGCATCCGTATCCTCCCTAGAGACTGACTTCTGAGTGGCTTGATAAAGAAAACTCTTTCATGTTTAGATAGCTCTGTGCTTGTTTATTTGAAATGTTGTTTTGTGTTGATAAAAGCAGTTTGATTTTCCTCTCCTCCTCTCACTTGACATTACATTTTAGTCACATTATTGGACGCGTTTTATTGACGTCTGTCACGTTTGAATATTTATTCATTAGACGGTGTTTGGGGAACGTCTCGTAACACGCTTCCTCTTTGAAAGTGACTTCAGCGATGACCCGCACCTGCCGTCGCCGCTGCAGCTACGGGGGAGGATCCTCCTGAAGAACAAGAAGCTCAAAGCCCACCAGGCACCAGTGGACATACTCAAACAGAAGGTTTTTAGAAGAAAGCAAGACATCCTGTCCAAACATACACATATAAAAACATGTAAATAATTTATATTTCATATAAGTCATCCTTCAAATGGCTTTCCAGGTAGCATTAGTGCATTTAATATTCAACACTGTTTGTTAGAGTGCTGTCACACATAAATAATAGATGTTAATGTTTCCATCACACCATTTTCTGTCAGTTTACCTAGCACACATAATGTGCTTCAGTATACACACTTTAATCTCTGCAGATAAGAGCTTGTATATTTACAGGTAATGGGCAGATATAGATCTGAAGTCAGATACAGGTATATCTTTGTAAACATGAGTTCTTCTCACACACAGTTTTTTACTACATGCACTTACTCCCAGGTTGTAACACTTATATTATGTTATAATATTTTCACCCTTTCACAGGCTCACCAGCTGGCCCACATGCAAGCCCAGGCTAGCAATGGGGCACCAGGGGTTACTTCGCCTGGCAACCACACCAATGAGGAAGAGGAAGAGGAAGAAGACGAGTACGACTATGACTATGAATCTTTATCAGATGGTAAGGAGAACTGCAAGGAGAAGAAAACACTTCAAGTGCACAAAACTGACAAAAAAAAACTGAACTGACCTACAATATTCTCAATATAAAATAGCACATAAATTATATGTTGATTCTTATGTTGTAAGCCTTGAATCCGTTTCTGTTTACACCTTTATTCTGTCCCTGTTTTTTTTAACTCTTGAGTCTCTATTTCTGTTCACATTCTGTTCTCACTCCTTTCCTTTCTTATTTTATCTCGCCTGTTTTCCACTTAGCTGATGTCCTCACAGCCTCTACTGCCTCATATGGCCTGGAAGGTAAATGCACGGCTCTGATGCGTCACTCTATGTACCAGTGTTTCCATCTAATTTTGTTTTGCGGTGGTAGCCAGTGGTCTTTCGCTGATTCCCTTTGACCAGCATTATTAGTATCTTAAAATGGCTCCTTAAAATGCTACATTTGAATACAGATCCTACAGTTGAGTTTTAAGGGGAAATTGTGGGATCCCTTTTGCAAATTATGGTATCTTTTCTTGCTGTGTTTGTCTACCACTGCAAAACAACTACAGAGGAAACACTAGTATGTAGTCGTGCACTAGTGATCTGCATCATTGCTGGAGACTGATTCCTGTGTGTGCCCGCATACTGTGATAGCTGCTAGCTTTCTGCTGTTTCTGGGTGTCAGGTCTGTGCTGTAGCTATCTGTCTATCTGCATGGTAAGCAGCAGTTAAGCAACTTATAGGAATGTCATCCAATCCATTTGGATAAAATATTCTGGAAGTTGTGTTGACAGTTTGAGATATAATTAATGTGTTAACACTGAGGGCTTGAACTGATGACCTCTGTTACAAGACATCCTCCCTCACACTCCACTGGACCCAGTAAAATGAGGACAACCATGTGTGACAAGAACTCAGAATTTAAGACTCTACTTTGTAATTGCCCTAACTCAAATGGTTTTAGAATCTCAGTAGGGTGCCATCAGAGAATATTCATCACTACTAAAGTGCTAACAGCGGGTGGTTTGCGACATCAGGCGTGTTTGTTATGATGTACACTTGTTTTATCACCATTATGTTATTGCAGTAATACAACAAGCGTCCTTAACTCCCAGCTTACTACAGCAGTTTTTCATGTGCAGTGTGCCAATGGAAGTGACTTTAACAATAGGCATTCTGTGTATCCATCATCCAAAATGACTTTTATTCTAAATCAGATTCTGTCACTATGAACACTGTGTTTAGAATAACCTGAATATTATTTTTTGATAGTAATCATGCTTGTGTTTGTGTGTCTTTGTGTTTGGCCTGCTTGTTACGTATGTTTTAGACGTTTTGCGTGTATCTGCCACACTATTTAACAACCTTCCAGAGGAACTCCAGAGTCAGAGCAGGATGGGACCATACTGTCTACCTCTATATTGACTGTTGCTGAAACATATGCAATTATGAATGGCAAAAAAGAAGAAGATTTCTTTATTTTAGTCAGTGTTTTAACAATATGCTGTCTTCATGATTTCTCTTCTCCCACAAACACATCACCTCCCTTCCTCCAACCCTTCGTACTGTATTTGTCTGTGACCTCGCCAGTGGCTGGGCAGGCTCATCAGGGAAACAAAACAAAGCCATCTGGTTTCTCAGGCCCTACGCTGCCCCCACACTAAACAACAGACCAGGGGAAACTACCCTGTCCCAGTCCCAGCACTGCTCTCTCCTAATCCTTGCCCTCTGCTTGTCCCATAGACCTTTCAAAAACCATTTCGCTAATCAAAACCTCATAGAGTGGTTTCAGTTTGATACTCTACCCCTTTTTTTTTTACTGAAATCAGACAGCTAGCAAGACATCCCTGGCTAAATAAACTACACTCCACCATGGACAGTGTCCATTATGCCCTACATGCTTGAACTTAACATCAGCTGCACCAGTAAATACAACAACTTGCCGCTAAACTGCCAAGTTGCCACCATCTCTTGTTTAACAGTCTGGTCCAACTCACTTCTCTGGCTACTGTCTCCAGGATGACATTCAGGGTCAACTCTGTTGCCAAACCCTTTTGAAATGAAGAGATCCCAGATGTCAAGAATTAAACAAGTTTTCTGTGATAAAAAGCTTCTGCATTTTCAAGCTGATATGTTTTTTTGGCTACGCTGGATGTGTAGGAGGAATGGGAGCAAAGGGAAGCTCCCTACTGTTGCTCCTGTTTACAGTTGATAGACATTGCTTTGAATATCAATGGGGATGGGCTTTTGTCGGGGTTTGGCTTGGGAATATGCTCATGGGATCTGCAAGTACTTAGGGATACAGATAACTGCTTTTCCCCTTTACAATTATTCTGTAATTGTCCCCACCTGCCGTCCTCTATGGCTGAATGCTGAAGTTAATGCAGAAGTACCTTTAAGTTTGAATGAACTCTAGGGACCACCATTACTCTGATTATATTAAAATAACAAGAAAAAACCCAACTCCTCTCTTGAAATGCAATGTCAGCATTTGTTTTTATAAGAAGTAAGATTCTCAGAAGCTAAATTTACTTCTTCTGAAATGCATGTCTTACTGGTGATTTAACATACAGTATATCAAGAGAAACTGTCACACCAAGTCCAATGCACAATTTCTATTTAGCAAAGACATTTTAAATCCAGGCTGGATCTTTATCAGACCAGTTTTTTATTTTTACATTTTTATTTTTTAGATTGAATTAACTATTCCTTGGGAATGCATTTACTTATATTTTTGACTTATGTCTCTATAGGCATTTTCAGATCACTTGCTTTGTTTGACTAAAACCCCTAAAACATTTGAATTTAAGATTTTATAAAATAGATACAAGCCCCAAATCCTCACATTTGTGAAGGAAAAACTACATCAATATTTATTGCAGTTTGTATATGGTTCAAAATGATTGTTTTTGATGCCTGATTCACCCAAAAAACATTTTCAGAGGATGTGTGCTCTGTGTGATCCATTCTGCTACCTATTGACACCTGGAAATTACTACTTTAATTCACTGTATCTGTTCTTCATAGATAACATCCTGGATGATAAGCCAGAAGGGAAGAGCTCAGCAGACAAAGAAGAGCAACCTGTTGATGAAATACCAAAGAGGATGAAGAAGTCTGATAGCACTACACAGAGCAAAGGAAAGGTGAGGGACTACAGTAGTAAACTGAAAAGTATTAAGGTATTTAATACAGAACAGAAATTGGTTTAGAAAAAGATAATACTCTGTATGTGTGAAGTTCAACCCAGCTCCAATAGTACATCACTGTCTCTTCATGTTAAACCATGTTTTCCTTGTTCTGTCTCTACCTGCACATGTAGGTGTTTGACATGGAGCTGGGCGAGGAGTTTTACCTTCCTCAGAACAAGAAGGAGAGTCGACAGATTGCCCAGGAGCTGTCCGACCTCATCATCTACTGCCAGGCTGTGAAATTCCCTGGTAGAGAATACTTCGATGTCTTTGTCACACACAGTTCTTTCTCTTTCCTTTCTTTTCATTTCCATATACATTTCTTTTATTTCTGTGCTACACAGATTCTTTTCCCAGCGCAAAGTGATTTATTCTCTGTCAAAATCTTTCTTCCACCCTCTCTCCTTTTACTTCTGACATGCTATCATCTCCTTTTTCTGTCTTGTCCCCCTTTAATCCACTCCCATGTTATATTTAAAAGGTCAAACCTTTCCCCGTGTTTTCTACATTTTTTCATTGCAAGACATTTAATATCCCAGTGTTCTAACTCTCCCACACAGGACACCCACTAAGATGATGAATCCTTTTCTCCCCCATGGGAGAGATATGGTTCCTCTATTGTGTTGTCAGTCCCAGAGCAGCACAACAACAGCAGAGTTGTTTTATATACTGTAAATTAATGTTTGCGGGATGACCTGGAGAATAGTTAGTATGCCAGGTTCAAATTTGACCTAGTGTCTTCGACACATTTATCCCCTCTTTCTTTCAGTTTTAACTATTTTGCTATAAGCTGCTGTGTCACAATTTAAATTTGTTAAAATTAGAAAATTTAAATACATGAAAATTCTCCTCCTATTTTCTCTTTATGGGGATCTCTCTTCATTCCTTGCTACCATTTGTCTCAATTATTTCTTTTTGTCCCTTAAATATCAACCTCTTATCTCCTCTTTCCTCCCTCAAGTGTCCTCTTCCCTGTTTGTGTCCTCTTTTATTTACATGACATTTGCCCTTATAAACCATCCTGTGTTTCCACTTGGTATTTTTATTTGTTTACTGTTTCCAGGACCCTGAGATCTAAGAAAGAGAAAAAAGGGGCATGTAGCCCAGTCCAGACAGACAGCAGACTGGTTACTGCTGTCTGAAGTGGTTGCAGACAAACCTTTCTGCAAACATTTAAATCTTCTTACAAAAATTCTTGCCATTCAGAAAATGCATGGCACATTTCTCATCTCAAATATTTCTTTGGAAAGGAGATGGAATTTGACACCAAATAAGAAATGGCTCAAGATTTGCAGTATTTAAATTTGTTACATGCAGCTTTTTGCATTATTAAATTATTGATTTAATTACTTTAATTTATTTTGTTTTATTATGATTAACAAACAAGACCTTTTCAAAGAAGACTAGAAGCTTTTCTATGCTTATATACTGCATTTTCCATGTTATTTCACAAATTTCAGGCAAATTCTTATACAGCAAAAAACCTATGTTTTGCTAACTATTCTGCAAATAATACACATCTTAAAATAATTTCTATTAGCTTTAAGCTTGAAAAATGCACTTGGAGTGATGCCGAGGAGGGAGAAGACCAACTTCCTCATTATGATATAAAGTGACAGCATTTAGAGAAAATTATTTCTGGAATTTGAGAAACTAATTGAGAGAGATGCTGCTGTCATGAGTGTGTTGTCTCCAGTCTGTCTGCGCTGCATTATTGACCACTTTCTTCTGTCTGCCTCTTTTTGTGTGTGGGAAAACAGGCCTGTCCACACTGTCTCCAGCCGGGTCTGGCAGAGGAAAAGACCGGGGAAAGAGCAGAAAGTCCATATTTGGCACAGCTCCTGCTCGCTGCACAACAGGGGAGGTCACAAGCCAGAGCCGCACCCCTGGGAAAGGTACGCAGGGCCAAAGGGTGGTAATTGTTTGTATGTGTGTATGTGGAAAAGATACAATATATGGCCCCTATATATAGGGGAAAAATTCACAGATTAATGATTACTGGTGAATTCAGCGCTCTTCTTTGTCTTCATGTCGGACCACATCACTCAAACTAAGAAGCTGATTGAGGAAACCTTTAACCATCTCTCTCCCTCTAGGTGGAGCTGAGCGGCTGAGCTGGGAAGAGCAGCAGACGTCTCCCATCCTCAACCCCCCGACCTCTCTCAGCGCCATCATCCGCACACCCAAATGCTACCACATCTCCTCCGTCAACGAGAATGCCGCCAAGCGCCTGTGCCGGCGTTACTCTCAGAAGCTGATCCAGCACACGGTGTGCCAGCTGCTCAGGACTTACCCAGCAGCCACCAGGATCGACTCAACAAACCCAAACCCTCTGCTGTTCTGGCTGCACGGCATTCAGCTGGTGGCACTCAACTATCAGACTGATGGTGAGGATGGCCAAATCGTAGTCAGTGAAAGACAAAGTAGAGATGACAAAGAGTAGATTCTGTTGTACTCTGTCCTCTTCCTCTTTTCATAAAAAACAACTCTGAGGCCTCTCCTGCATGATGATGTTTGCTTTTTACAACCTTGCAAAGCCTTGAAATTGGTTGAAAGAAATGCTGCGTGAGTCAACGCAGCCCATTTTCCACAGAGGAAAAAAAGATTATGTTTGGTGAGACTATATGAAGAGTTTGTTTGTTATATGTTTGAAAAGTTACAGATAAAGTTCTCTCTTATCTTTTTAAGGTATTGTTGATCCCAAGGTGCTCCACTGCTTGTTTTTCTCTACTTTTCTTCTTAATCCCCTCTTTCTCTGTCTGTCTTTGTCTTTTCTCTCTCTTTATTTGTATCTTACTGTCTTCATTGGTTTTTCTACATTTCTCTTTTGTCTCTATGTCTATGTTTCCTGAAGTTCTCTGTTGTCTTTGTTCGCTGTCTGAGTTCTGATAGAACTACAAGACATATTACATTGAAAAATATCTCGTCCTTCTCTGTCTTCCCTTCTGATCATGGTCTCTATTTCACTCCTCCAAGCATATTTTCCATATCTCTGATTCTTCAATATTTTATTTTTATTTATAAAACATGATCACGCAGTTGACACTTACATGCACTCAGACATGCAAGTTTTGTTTACAGGACACTCAAAATTTAAATGGGTCAAACAGGGAAAATCTTTGCAGCTATTTAATACCCAAACTGGATCATGATTATCTGTAATACGTCCTTCGCTAAAGTCCACAAGGTATCAGATATTTTTTTATACAATTAGCTAAATCCATTTTCTCCTCCCTCTTTCTTTCCTACCCAGACCTGCCCATGCAGTTGAACACAGCTTTGTTTGAGGCCAACGGTGGCTGTGGCTACGTCCTGAAGCCGGCAGTGCTGTGGGACCGCAGCTGTCCGCTCTATCAGCAGTTCTGTCCGATGGAGAGGGACGTGGAGAAAATGAGCCCCGCCGTCTATTCCCTCACTGTGAGTAAAGATGACATATAGAAGATCAGTCAAGGAAGACTACTTCATCCTTAATAGTTGCATTTTCATCCTCACTTTGGCCAATTTGTTTATTTTCCTACCTACCTCTTTTACACTGTCCATCTCAATATCAGTAGCTTATTTTATTTTATTTTTGACAATAACTAAATTGTAAATGCAGATTTTTAAAAAAGGATCCGCAATATATGATATTAATCTTTTGTCAAGCTGTTGATATCTTTCTTTGCCCTGTTTTACATCCTTTATTAGCATACCTGCACAGACATTATGGCTGGACACTCAAACACACACTCCTAAATACTCATAGATCCATTAAGGTATGTTTTGACAGTTTTATTGGGAAGTGGTCTGTATGCGCTTTCATTATTTGACAGGCCACCCAGTTAATTCCGTATAACTGAATAAGAACAGGACCTCGTAAAAGTTCTGCATTGCAATGTGTCCACTGTCTGTATTTATTGTTCTGTATGTGCACTTTCGTCACTCGTTGCACGTTGTTTGTGGACATTTAGACATTACATTGGCATAAAAGTGAACAGTATATTATGAGTAAAAGTGTGTTGACATGTTGATTAATTAATAATAATTATAATAATTAATAATGTTGAATGTAGCTGCCTTTAATTGTGATGAAGATTCTGAGCCAATGTTCTTGATTATCTGCTCTCATGCTTTCAAAAGCAGCATAAACACTGATCTGGTAAAACCAGCAGTATAAACAGAGGGATGATCTCACACTCATACAACCTGTGTGTGTGTGTGTGTGTGTGTGTGTGTGTGTGTGTGTGTGTGTGTGTGTGTGTGTGTGTGTGTGTGTGTGTGTGTGTGTGTGTGGAGCATGAGTGAGAGTGTGTGAGAGAGACTCAGAAGGTGAATTACGGTCTTTATTACACGGTCTTTGTTGGCAGGTCAAAGTGACTTCACTGTTATTTGGCTCCACCAGCCTGTTTCATCAAATAAACAAAAAATAGGCTTGTTTTAGTGATAGCCAAGAATCTTAATAGCAAGTGTTCATACATGGTGTGATGATTGTTACTCATCATCCCCCTCTCTGTCTTCTCTTAGATTGTCTCTGGTCAGAACGTCTGTCCTGGAAACAGCGCCGGCAGCCCCTGCCTCGAGGTGGACATTCTGGGCATGCCCATTGACAGCTGCCACTTCCGTACCAAACCCATCCACCGCAACACCCTCAACCCCATGTGGCATGAGCACTTTCAGTTCACCGTGCACTTTGAAGAGATGTGCTTCTTGCGCTTCGCTGTGGTGGAGAACAACAGTTCTCAGACTACTGCTCAGAGAACTCTGCCTCTTAAGGCCCTCAAGCCAGGTAGGAGCCTCACACACACCAGATGGGACAGATATAAGCTGTTGATGGGAATTTGTATTGAGTCTCGCACCTGTAAACATGCAAAAGAAGCATGTTTAAAGATCCCCTCTTGACATATTTTTACGACACATACAAATAGTCTACTGGGAACAGTAATATGGGTCTGATTCCACATTGAAAACCTTTTTAAAAAGGCATCTTCTTTTCTATTTCATTAAAATTTCCAGATGCTACTGTATGAATATGCAAGTTTTGTTCATTTCTGAAGTTTTCCTGCTGGACACAAATTGTCTCCTACTTACCTACACTGTAAAGTCAGTTCTAAGTGTCTGTTCACTGGTGGCTCCATGTTTCTACATCACACTTCTATAAGTTGCATACTGGACCAGAATTGACTTCCAAACTATTTGTGATATCATAAATAATGCTTGTAGGCCCCACCCCTTAAAATCAGAGCACAGAACAACTTTCTAGTTTCAGAAGATGAATGTGACACAAAACACAAACAGAGGCCTGAGTCGCTTTATGTGTTGTCAAAATATGTTTCTTGTTGTGTTTCAGGTTACAGACATGTGCAGTTGAGGACACAACATAATGAACCTCTCGAAGTGTCGAGCTTGTTTATCTACAGCCGCAGAACAGAGGAAGGTCCCACAGGGGGCGCTACTCCCTCATCACTGGTAAGACTTAAGCTCTGTAGTGGTTGATACTGCTCCTTTAAAAACGTCAGCTTTTGTAATACTTTAAATACAGTAGATGGTAATGCAAAATGTGCTCTCTATGGAGGAAGCAAGAGAGAATGTTTAATAAAGTGCTCCTGCTCTCTACACAGCTGTTCAGTTCGGAGGAGAAACATTTGTCGCAGCAGCACAGGGTGACGGTGTATGGAGCTCCTGGTCCTGAACCCTTCACTGTGTTCTGTATCACCGAACAGACGACCGCCAAACAGCTGCTAGACACAGTTAGTACTTCAGAAATAGAGATTTTTTATTCATCTCTTGGGGATTTTTCATTCCTCACATAAGGTTTCTCCTCTTACTTCCCCCACAGGTCGTCGCATCTTCGGGAAACCCGTCAGAGTACTTCCTGTGCGAGGAGAAGGTTCCTCTGCTGAAGGAGCGCAGTGAGGTGAAGCGCTGTCCTCAGCATCGTGCTCTTGCACCCGAGGAGGAGGTGGTCAGACTGGTCTCTAGCTGGAACACTGAGGAGGGATATGTGGGGAGGATCTGCCTCAAAACCAGAGAGGAGGTACACACAGAGAGCACAAACACCTACATTCAAACTGTCATCAGTAACATATTTGTGTGTATTTGTATTGGTATTAACTGAGTTTAATCTGAAATGTTGAATGATTTGGAACACTTAACTGTCAGTGTGTTTATGTTTAATATTACCTGTTATTACCTCTGTAACTCAATCATTACTACCAGAAAAAACACTCCATACACACTGTGTAAGTTGTTATTTAGACTATGGCTCCCCCTTGTGGTTGTCTTGTATAAGTCAGTTAAACCTCATACTTCACACTATTATATGAGGAACAGCAGCTGTGCTATAAACTATGAACACATACATATTTGTAGGTAGAAATGTTTTTTTAAACATTTACTTGCATCAGACATCAAGTGCTGGTTTACATCTAGGATTCTGCTCAAGGTTATTAGTTAACAAACACTAAACTAAAAACTAAATTAATTAATTTAACTGAAATTTAACTTTAACTGAAATACAAATTAAAAACTAGATTTAAGAGAAAAACTGAAACAATATTGTGTACTTACAAAAGGAACTAAAATACAATATACAGGAAATGTCCACTCTGGAAACTAACTGAAACTGAACTGAATTGAAAATGAAAAACGCAAACTAATTAAAATGAAAAACTCTCACTACATTGGTTTGTTCTTGCAGAAGTTAAATGAGAAGAACACAGCGCTGGAGGGAGAGGAGGAGGTGACTGTGGGAGGAAGAGAAGGAGCAGGAGGAGGAGGAGCAGAAGACGATATGTTCTTTGTCCAGGTCCATGAAGTTTCACCAGAGCAGCCTCATACTGTGATCAAGGTCCCACGCTACAGCACTGCTCAGGACATCATACAGCAGGTTAGGAGGGTCAAGAATACGCCTGATAACATCATTAAAGCTGCTCTGAGGATTTGAAACGAGCAACATAAAAAATAACTTTGCAAGACTTGTACTTGGCTTCATTTGTTTCTTATACACTCTCTGTCTTGGCCAGACTCTGTCAAAGGCCAAGTATTCCTACAGTATCCTATCAAACCCCAACCCATGTGACTACGTCCTGATGGAGGAAGTGACAAAGGACGCTGGCTCTAAGAAGTCCTCCACTGCCAAGCCCCTGCAGCGAGTGCTGCTGGATCATGAGTGTGTCTATCAAGCTCAGAGCCGCTGGCGGGGCGCGGGAAAGTTCATTCTTAAACTCAAAGAGCAGGTAGCTCTAAATGTGCCGACTGATTTCTAATGCTAGAGACTTCTTAGTTTTTATTTTTCGCATTCTTATTTTATATTTATGTGCATTGCGTCACTCCTTTGAGCTTGTTCCTGTACTTTTTTTTACTGTATGTGCTTGTAACTCTTTCTTTAACACACTGTTCACTGACATCTCAGTTAATCCATGTTGTGTGTTTGCCATTGTATTTCAACACCTGTATGTGCTTTTAACCTGTCGCTGCTTCCCTTGTTTGTAACTTGTCTGTGCTTTGTTGCTGAGTTTGTGATGAAGTTTTGTCTGCTTATCTCATTCTAATGTCTTTATATGTCGTATGTGTGCCAGTATTTATTTTATTTATGAACTATCTTTTTACCCTCAAGGGCTTTAGTGCTGACACATTTGTAAATAAGAATGTGTTTAAATGAGCTGCCTTGTTAAATAAATGTTGAATGAGTTTTTAAGTTATGTTTTTGTAAGTTAGTGTTTTTTCTTTTTACATAATTAGGACAGAATGAGTGAGAGAAAGGGTACGAATCACTGAAGCACTTTAATTCTTGAGTAAAAAAAGGGAACCATGAAGGATGAAAAAAAGGATTAAATGTATGGTTGGTCAGCTTGTATCTCAAAACTACACACATTGTTCTTTATGTATTTTAGTGAAGTAAATCGGTTTCTGCTTCCAGGTGGTGCGGGAAGACAAAAAAAAGGTAATTTCCTTCGCCAACGAGCTGAAGAAACTGACTAGTCGCAGCCGCAGCATGACGACTGGTGGCGGAGTCGACGGTCCTGCCCAGAGTAAGGATGATAGAGCTGCATGCTGTGTGGCTCTGACAGAGCTCCAGGAGTGAGGCTCACACTCTGCCTGCTGTCTGTGCATGGAAAGGCAACAGAGGTACCGTATGTTGTCTCTAACATCTAACATTACAAAGGAGCAGAAACATTTAAGGTGCCATTCTATACATACATCTGAAATAGTTCAATAAATAGATTGCCCGTTGCATTTCTCAGTACTAATTGTGCCAGCAAGTTATGTATAGTCTGGATTTGGATTGTGGCGTGTTCTGAGGTGTAATGTAAGTACAATGTGGAAAAGTAGAATGGAGGTTGATTTTATTGTAGTGCTGATAAAGTATGGAATGTGTGAGAAAAATCAAGTCATTTTTCTCTGAATTAGATTATGGTTCATGTAATATATGGTCTTTATGTATTTTCTGAACCATATGAACTTAATTCAGAACCATTATCTTTGAAATATTCTCAGACTTTTTATCAGATCTAACAGAGCAAAGAGGCAAAATAATCTGTAAATAAGTGCAGATGAATCTGGTCAGTTTAGGACAACACATCCTGAAGATATGAAGATAATATGGACATACAGTGTGTGTGTAGGGAGCTGGCAAATACTCCTTAGTTGTGTGCAACCCTGTATGATTTGTGTTTGTAGGAATGTACTTCACATTATTATCTCCTCCTCATGTAATTTAACCCTTCATTTCCAGCAACATTTCATCTCACTTTGCAGTGTGGCAACAGTTCATTATGGTGTTATTAAACGTAGTGTTTTTTGCCTCCGTTTGGTGCTGCCTTTATAGGCCTAATCTGTGATCCTCTGCAGGTTATCTGTCTGCAGCTGCGGGTCTGAAGGCATGGGTGGCAGAGGGCAGGGTGTGGCCAGGAAGGTTCCTACAGGCGGCCTCCTCCTCCTCCTCCTCCTCCTCCTCCTTAAGGGGGCAACTCCAACCTGTCCACCTACCCACCTCCTCTCTGACCCCCCTAAGCTGGAAGCTTCACCTACTCAGGAACTGGAAGATCCACAAATGAGTCTGCAGAGAGAGAAGATTTGGGTTGACTACTTCTAAACTTGGAGGATTGTGGTGTCCACATAGTGTGGAATTCGCGGATATGCGCCCCCCTTAAGTCCCAAAGGAGTCTGATCCTGTCTTGTGCTAGTTGAGCAAGTGGAGGACAGGATTGAGTCCAAGCCCCATTAATGGGTTCAGGTGACAAATGTTCAGCCCCTTTTTAATTGGTTGAATGATAGACAGGAGTTTCACCAGGCGCCACGTTAGAGCAGTGATGGTCATGTGGGCAGGTTGCACTGGCTTGTCTTGGTTTATTGGTTGTAGTGTGGCTCCACAGGGAGTCCAGAGTACCAGGGGCAGCTGCTGTTGTTGAAGTCATCAGCTATGTGATCAGGGACACTTATTCTCTTGCCAATATACAGGAGGAATTTGTCAAACATGTCACATTAAAAGGATGAAGAGGTTTGTTTTTAGATGTGCCAGAAGTAGGAAAATGAGTTTAGTGAACCACAAAAGAGTTGACTTATGGACAAATCAAATATGGCTCTGCAAGAGATGTCCTGTGTCCTAGCACAGGCTACAGTTAGCTATATCATTTATTTGGATCAAAGTTTATAAACTACTCCCCTTTTTTCTGGTACCACACACATAAAGCACACAGCAGACGGAGAGAGATCTGCTTGGAAAAAATGGAAGGAGAGAAGTAGGAGAGTACGAAAACAGTATTCTTCTCTCTTTCTCAGGTATGGGGCTCGTTTGGCTGAGGGCATTGTGGAGGGGGCTGACAAGCTGGCTTGTTGGGTTCTTTTCTAACTGTTCCAGTTTCACAGTACTGTAAGGGCACATTTTGGGCACAGAAAGAGGCAACAAAGTGAAACGACCTATTAGATATTCTGTAATGGAAGCAGCAATGCTTTAGGAGGTTTCTTGGACACTACTGTCTCTGCCCTAAAGGTAAATAGACATGAACAGCATTTTAAGGCAGTGTTGGTGCGCAGTATTGTTGATACAGTTGCTCTTCCACATTGCCTTAAAATGTTGCAACACTGCCTTTAACTTTTGGTTATTTTTTAGCTGTGTCTTTGAGGAGGATCTGAGGCTCGTTTTCACAAAGTGTTTTAGTTCTGTTATCATTGTATGTCAACGGGCATTTTATCTTGCCAACCAAATCCAAAATCAAATTTTAGAGGTATTTTCATTTAGGAATACTGCCTTGTTAAAGCAAGTAAAAAGAAAAAGAAAGTTTAAAAGGTTGTCTAAACACAAGTGGCCATACAAAACCTTTTATGTACAGATGTTCAATATTGAATCTGAATGCTAACGAGCTATTGTGGCTAAATTGAGAAATGTAAACACTTTCACCTCATTGTGACAAAGCCTTTACAAAGAAAAACTAAAAATATTTCCTTCAGTTTCCCCCTATGTTTGAATGGAACAATGATGATGCCAGCACTAAGATCCTTTATAAAAACAGCCTTGTCTTCTTCAAACAGCATTTTGCACATTTGTTTTCCTTTTGCTGTCATCTTCTGTGTGTTTGTGTAATTTGTCTGAAAAATGGCAGACTTGATTGTTATGAGATGGTCAAAATGTTTTTTTTTTTTTTAATTATGATCATATTTATTACTTTTGATTTCTGCCCAGTTGCGAATTTAGTTTTGAGGAAAAAAATATTGTTAACAGAAAGAATTGCATTTCACTTTAGTTTATTGGCCTACATGTGCTGTCCTTGATTTTGAATGCAGTATCTTTATAGGTTACTAGTATTGATTGATTGTCAATAATGATTGTAGACTTTTCTTTATTTCAATTTCTTTCAGAATTTACTAAGATTTATTCTATCTTTATTCTATTTTGATGTGTAACATTTCCATATTTTTAAAATTATGATAAAGTTTAGATTCTCTTCTCTCTTTAGGACATAGTTTAGTTTTGTTTGGCATTTCAGTTTTTAATATGTAGATATCCCCTCTAGTTGCTGAGCCACAAGGAGTCCATTAAAGGTTTTAAATCTATAGGAGGAAAAAGTAAAATTTGAAAAGAAACTTTGACAACAAAAATCAAGACCATGATGACAAAGTACACAGCTGCCGTACTGCACTGTGTATTTACAGTTACTTAACATTATACAGACAAAATGACAACTTTCCTATATGAAATCGGAAGAAAGCCAGTTTTGTGAGTTAACCCACTGAACAATTTGGGGTTAAGAATAAATTAAAAAAAGGTAAATTTGTCATTTATTTTAACCCACATTTAAACATAAATCTTGTTGAAAAGCTTCCTAAAACCTGCAAACCGTGAACACTTCATGTTAAGTAAAATGTTACTTAAAGCCCCTGTCAAGCAACAAGCAACTGTCATTTTGTGTCAATTCTGGCGGCCCCTGTGGACAACAGTGGTAGTGTTTCTGCTGCCTCGTTTCATTGATTTCAAGGGGAATCCGACTGAATCCGATCCAAATTCTGTGGCATGTATTAAGAATAACAACATAGAAATAGTCGATCATCCTCACTGATGGTCTTGTTTATGTATGTACGTCATATAGGGGCATCAGTATATTCTACTATAGTTTAATAACCAGTAAAAAAAACTCCTTGTCATGATTAAAATGCAATTTTTTTTATTTCATAGGCAGTCTGGCCAATAGTAGCCACACTCCTCAAGATGAATTGGACTTTTGACCTTTTAATTTATTTTTAAATAAAACTTTGCTCAATGCCAAGTAATGACATTTGAATTTTAGTGCAATAGTAAAGTTCTGTCACTTCAACCCCTTTAGGTTTTGACTCCTGACCTTGACGTGTCTAAATCTGTCAAAACTGATATCATTCACTCACAAAGGTGATCCTTTGTCAGTGGTCAGGCAGCAGGTCGATGCTTAATGGTAGTGAAGGTAGATTAGATTGTGATCAAAGACACCACAAATCAGCGATAGTTAGGCTGATAGGTTCACTGTAATCCTTTTATCCATTCCGGCTTTTTGTTGTTATAATTGAAATACGATTATGCAAAAGATCAGATTTCATAAACTGGTGATTACTTACAACTACCATGCTGGATAAAAGAGATATCAGCTGATATGACTATGTGAATTTCACACTGACTTTACACAGAAAGGGACATTTTCTGTTCAGTTCTAAATCTGTAATCAGTGAGTGCTTCATCATATCTTCACATTCTTCAGGCAGAGCTGTGTTTCTTGTTTTCCTTCTTCTAACCTGTAGACCTCATTTCTGAATGTAACATTTCTTAACGTGTTGAACCTGAGACAAATGTGTGTTTGGATGTTATTTATTTTAATGTGAAGCCCTGGTTGGCAATTATCTGGTGTTGTTGTTTATGTATTATTTCCTGTTAGTAGTTTAATGTGTTTTTTTATTTATTTCAATATGTGAGAGGATAAACTCTCCACTGCCCTAATTTTACTCAAACTTATTTAGATACGTAAAGAAATATTTTACTTTATGTGTAAAATATTCAGTATAGTATTCATATTCCTGGCATGTTATTCTGCAGTACACAGCAGCGTATTTTAATGCCTTTTATTTGTTTTCATAAATGTGGACAAAAGCTGACAATTTTAAACTTTTTTTTGGTGTATTCATTATATCCACTGAATATGGCATATGTATTTGCTGACTGTGGCCTGTTTCATCTTTAGCACTCTGTTATTTCCATAAGATGTGCATGATACCCTTTAACATCCACTATCTGTGTTATGATGTGGCTGTCAAGTGAACATTTGTCTATTTACTTGAATTTTTAAATGGATAAATTGGTGGATTCGTCATATACCAGGATCACAATAAAAATATAAGTACTTAACCTAGTTGCATATCACAGTGTGTTGGCCCTATGTCTGAGCTCAACTCATGAACTATTGGGTCATTATTTTGTGGGTTGAAATTATGGTTTTACAAGTAACTTTTAAGTCTTGGCTATGAAGCAGAGGGCTGCGTTGGGATTGGAATCCCGAGGGACCCCACGCAAATCTTTTTTGACTTTGCTTTGGGTTGTCAAAAAATAAACTACAGATCCTTGGGTGTAGTTTGTACCAACCAGAAAGATAGAGACAGATTCAATACATTAAGTTGAAAAGAATATTAAAGCAGGTTTTTACAAAAGAACAGCAAGGAAGATCTGACATTTCTGACACTGTAAAATATTGAAGTTTAACCTACGGGTCAGGAGAAGACAATATCTCTCTAGTGCGGATGTAAACGGTCAAATGTTGGCGGGTGTGGGTGGTAATGGACAAATCCACTGGGAGCGTGCATGAGTGGGATTCAGAAAGCAGTCTGTGCAGGGCTCTATTATGAAGTCCAGAGTCCAACCCAAAAACATTTAGACTGGTCTGCAATGTTAGGCCAGTCTCCGTTTGGTGCTCAGTTTAGTCAAATGCAAGTTAGACAGTTAACCAAAATGCAGGGTGACAAATTTTAAGCCTAAAATATTAGCCACCCTACCCCCTAGCAACTAAGAGCCAAGTTTCCATGGTAACAATCAGTGACACCTATTGACCAGTTGCACCAAATGACAAACATTTGCAAAATATGGCTCATAATTTGTGGTTTGCTAACAATGTTGTGGGCAATGTAAAAGGGGAAGGAGTTTTTAGAGAAAAAAATTACTTTTTATGTTTGGGTTTGAGTCATTTTAAATCAAAGGCTACAGTCTAACTGAAGTCACTGGTGTTAAAGTAAAGTTGCAGTCTATGATTTGTCTTATTTGATGTAAAATTATCAGGTTCATGACTGGAGTCGTGATGAATCCACACCTCTGACCTTTTCTCACAGATGACGTTTTGAGGTAAAGAACAGGTGTAAATAATACAATTAGCAACGGCTGAATTCCATTTCTCTGCCGCAGTTTCAGGATCCTGGTTTTGTGCATGCTGGCTGTTAGAAGCTTAGATCCTGTGCTATAATCAGTCAAAATGTGAAAAAGGCCTGTCAATAGATGGCTACAAATGCACCACAAGTGGCAAATAGCAGGAGTATTTTGAAGCTTCTTATTTCTTTATCTGGTGCACAAATGACACCACCTGCTAAAACAAAAGAAAGGATACTTAAGACAACCCGACAGAAAACTTCAAATGAAAAGTGCAAAAAATGATCCCACATAATAAATCAGCTTTGTTTTTTGGGTGAAATGCCCCCTTTCAACATAATTTCAGCCACTAATCAAATCTTTTGTGCCTGTGTCGTAGATTAATGAGCCGAGTTCAGTCTACCTTCTCCTCCAATAAAGCACAGTGGACTCAGGGATCAGTGACATAATCAGCTCATTTAGTTGAATCAATAACAGCGGCTCAGGCGTGCCTTTCCTTCCAGAAACTGTTTAAAATATTACTCTCTGGTACAGTCCGCTAATTCTGGGTAATAAGGAGCACTCAGTTTCAAATATCACCACCGGTGTGGCACCCTCTGTTGAGTTCCTTAATGCAAAATTATGCAGTCATCAAATTAAATGTGAGCGTTTTAAAACCTGGTAATTCAGCAGCTTAATGGTCCATCTTCTTTCAGACTCGGAATGAAACAGTTCACTGTAATGTGGCCCACAACTTAAAAGTTCTCCCACCTTAATCGTGATGAACTCTGACGAGGTAGAAGGATCCACGTGGCGTTAATTGGATCTCTCAGGGATCCACTGGGATGAGAGGAATTTAAAACAGCTTCTTCAGTCTGAACAGTTCCCATCGTCCTCGGTGAAAAACAAAATGCTAATGTCTCTCGGTGCCAAAGAGGAAAATATGTGGAGAACTTTTCTGAATCTTACAGGCTGTAATCGAGTTAAAGCTTTTATCTGCCACCTCCCTTTCATCTGCATTTCTCTTTTATGACTGTCTAAATCGGGTCTGTATATCTTACCAACAGAATGTGATAGTTTAAATCTAGCACTCAGCATCGACCTGACAAAGTATTTCATCTCATACTAAAAATACCATCTTAGACTGACATTAAAACCTCAAGATCGGGATGTTCCAAAATTCTAAATCTCATTGCAGTTTTCATTAATTTATTTTCCAGTTTGCATTAAAGCCAAAGCTTCTTTATTGACTGATGTAGTAATAACAACTTATATGCCCATGGATGTAAATTAATAGTTTAACATTTTGGGAAATACACTTATATTTATTTCTTCCCGAGAGCTAGATGAGATCAATACTACTCTCTCTTGTCTGTGTGTTAAATAGATGTACAGGTTTTTGTACAGATCAGAGCTTTAGGGGTGCTGAAAGGTAGTTTGTAACAGAGTCAGGCTAGCTGTTGCCCCTGTTAACAGTCTTTATGCTAAGCTAACAGGCTGCTGGCTCCAGCTACAAATTTTTTTTTTTTTTAGAGTGGTACTGATTTTCTCATCTAACTCTTGGAAATAAAGAGAAACAAGCGTATTTCAGAAAAAAAGAAAAAAAAGTATTTAGTTAGCAAATGTGAACCAGAAAAACACATTACTCTACACTCCACCCTTTGGAAGCTCACCACTCACCATAGAAAAGACGTCAACGCAACACCAAGTTAGCCAAACTCCACATTTCAATGGATGAAATAGTCTTTTATTTGGATAAAGTTTGCCAAGCAACTTGACAAGGATAAAAAGGCAAGTTTGAACAATACAAGACTTCATGTGTCAATGCAAAGTGCCAGGCAAATTCAAGATGAGTCGCACCGGTAGCCCTAATAATGAATGAAACAAGTTCCATACAGAGAAACCAGTCGCTTAAAGGGCCATAAAAAGTTCATAGACTGTCCTCAAGTTTCCTTCATTATCTCTTAGCAAAGTAGAAATATAACAAGTCCTCTCATTCTAGGTCCAGTTTTCCAAAGTGTTGCAGCTCTGAGATCAATTGGGTTTAAGGGATGCTCCGATTGGAATATTGAGCAGTAACAAAACATTTTAACTGGAAAAACAACCAATTAGATGCCAAGTTACTTGTTCTTTTTAAATGTATTTTTATCAAATGTGTCTGAATTTAAACAAAAATAAATTATTTTGAGTGCATACGTACTCCTTAATGAAATAAAGTTTAAATACCAGAATATGCTAATTCACCATTTAGCTGGGTACCAATCTGCTAATTAGATATCTTTTAATTGGGATTGGAGCATCCCCATTAGTTCCACAACTAATGAACAGAAATGATGTCTGAACGCTTTAATGATCTTGGCAATAGGGAGCGAGCACAGTCAGAGTTTGGTCATGGGTATGTGAAGGCTGTTCCACGGGCCCATCCATAGTTCCTCCTCATCCGACTGCGTTCTGTCACTCGGGCACTCCAACGGCCCCCTCATAACGAGGCCGTCGTCGTCGTCGTCGTCGTTACTGCCGTCTACCTTCGACTCTCTCTCGCCTTCTTTCAACTCATCTATCCCCGCTGTGCTCTGCGGCTGCTCTGTGCCGCCCTGCGCCGCTTTGAGCAGGTTGGATTTAGACGCCACACTTTCAGTGCCCGTGTTGCTGGTGCTGGTTGACCCTAAAGACACGCTGGATTGTCGAGTGTTGAACTCATTCAGCGTTTTATTGTTGTCAGTGTTAGAGAAAGAGGAAGTGGCCGTCACAGAGGTGGCCATTCCCGAACTTTGGAAGGTGCGCAGCGTGTTGCACCCAACGTCTGTTCTGGGGCTGTTCAGGGGTACTCTTTCCTCCAGAGTGGCAGCCATTTTGTCTAGTTTTTTAAAGTGCTTGGCCAGCCGTGAGCTGAAGACGGGGGAGGGAAGTTTGAGGTTGTTGTTCGTGTTGGTGTGTGTGTGTGGGGGAACCGTGGCGTTGCCTGAACGTCGGGTGCGGATGATGGAGCCATTCTGGGCCACGTAGATGCTGCCATTAACGTTAGCGTGGCTGTTGAGGGTTGAGGATAAGCGGTTGCGTTGGGTCTCTGGCATGCTGTCCTCACCGGTGGAGCTGGTCTCATATTCACGGTCAACTACTAACTTAATCCGACGTTTTCTACTGCCGTGCTGGAAAAACACACAAATAATATGTCATTAAACTTCTGACGCTGTGTAATTGGTACTCTTTAATAGAAGATTTACTGTTTGTTCTTATAAATCCCTTGTCTTTAATTGGCTGTCTGTTGCTGTTATATAACATTAGGATCTCTTCTCAGCCAGTATAGACAGGGAGAAAGATTACAGTAACCAACATATATTTTAATGTACATATGCACATTGTTTTAAGACTTGTGAAATGTGAACCTGTCCTTTAACACCAAGCCTGAAAGCATTGTTTCACTGTGAGCTCGTCTGGTTTCAAGTCTGTCTACTGCAGCAGGGTGAGAACTTTGACCACCAGAGGTCAGGAGAAACATTTTCAACTTATGTTAAAGGTTCTGTGAGATCCAACGAAATGTGTGACCTTTTATTTCTTAAGACTGGATAAAAGTAGCTCTTTCACTCACACTGCAAACACACTACACAGCAAAGACAAGGCAGCACAGCAGTTTTAAGTCCCAGATTCTTCATTTGGTGATTCACAGCAGCCTTTTGATCATGTGATGCTTTATAATTTCGACATAAGAAAGCGTGGAGGATTGTATATTAATTCCCATATTGGATGGAACTATTTATAACATTAAACACTATGACTTCTTCTTTGTTTAATCAGAGCAAACACTGCTGTGCACACACTTTGAAAGAAGAAAATAACTGACTGACCTGCTATTACAAAATATAACCCTCTGTTTTTCCATTTAACCTCGATAGTGTGGAAGAAAGAATACGTTCGCCATTACAAAGAAAGCATCATTTCTCCCTGCAGATAACAGGCACCGGAATAAATGACAGATACAGGGAGAATGATAGACACAGAAAAAGAAATGACTAATGTAAAAAGCTTGAGTGAACTTTTAGTGCAACAAAAAGAGGTCAGTGAATATCAAGAAATAAGCAGCTGGAAAGTGGAGCTTTCACAAAAGGAAATTGACACGAGTCAGCTCGGGGGGGAAAAACCGGAGGTAAACCAGTTGAGCACTTCAAGAGTATCAGCGCCGTTAGAAAGGAAGCCAAGACACACGAAGAGAGGCTGATTGGAAAAAGGGTATTTCAAACATACAAGCAAAGAGAAGAGGCAAAAAACCATGGGAGGAGATACTCTGAGAGGGCAGCAGAGGACACACAGACAATAAACTCCTGTGAATGTAAATCAAACCAAACCAGGAAAAAGAGAGATTACAGTAATACATTCCACCCAGGTAATGACTGCACACCCAACGCAAGCATTTTCACAGAGATCTTACTTAGTGGCAAAGAATTTAATCTTTGGTGGGGGGGGGGACTAAGGCCTCATCTGCATTTCAATCAGCCGACTCATTTTCCAAATCCCCCTCTTCTTCATCCTTGTCTTCCTCCCCGCCATGGCCCCTGCTTCTCTCCTCCTCCTCCTCCTCGGTGTCCTCGATGATGGGTGACAAGTCGTCTGAGTCGTCGATCACGCCTGAGCTGATGTCTGATTGGATGTGGTTGGCGGCCCGCCCGCTCGACGAAGACTTCCGTGATCCAACGCCTTTCGCCTCTTCCTTCTCCTCCTCTCCTGATTCTTCGTCTTCCTCGCTCTCTTCCTCTATTGTTTCATGTGACGAACGGGAGTGTCTAGATGTTTGGGGCCTAGAACCTGAATATCTCAAACTTTTTGAGTCGCTGCTGCTGTTTCGATCCTCTTTGCCGTTTTCCCTCTGTCTGCTTGTTCTTTCCCTCTTTGCGTTGGCACTGCCACTTTTACTTTTACTATTATTACTGTTGCTGCTCGCAGAACTGTTACTGATACTACCTTTCGAGCGTTTTCTGCTCAACTCTTTCCTCTCCTCCTCACTCTCTAACCCTGACTCCCACTCAGACTCTGACCCTCTCAGGCTCCCACTTTCTGACTCTGTCTCGGGAGTTCCCCCTTCCCTTTCTGTTCCCGAGTCGGACTCATTTTTTCCCGTTGAATCTGTATCAGATTCGGTCTTGCGGTGCTCGGCTGTAACGGATGAGGTGGGGCTACTTGTGTTGGAGAGACTGAACTCTGATGGAGACTCCTTGCTGCCACTGCCTGTTTCTGAATCGCTGTCATTAAATCTTTTTTCTCTCTTCCACCACACCTCAGAGGAGCTATTCTCCTCTCGTAAGTCCCTCTCCCTCCTCCTCCTCCTCTCCTCCCCCATGGCTCTCTCAGACACTATGGCAGAAACACTCATATCTCCTAGGGAGCCATACATCTTCCTGCCATTCTCCTCTCCTCCATCCCAGCTTTTTCCATTCCTCCACTGTTCGTCCCCCACCCGGGCAGGTCCCTGAAGCCTTCTGGCGAGAGAGATAAGACTGAGGGCCTCACTCAGCTTTTGTTTTACCGGAGGGGGTTTGCTGGCTTCAACGGACGTCTGGAAATAACTCCCGTCGATGACCATGCCACCGTCCAGGCTGACGAAGTGGCCAGAGGACGACAAGCCAGGGAGCTCTCCCCTGTGCCCTGGCCTGACGCCTTCTCCTCTTTCAACATCATTTCTCATCCCATTGTTTGTCACACCACCTCTGTTGCTTCTTCCCCATGTTTCCATTTTTCTTTCCCTCCCTCTCTCTGCCGCTTCATCTCTTCCTCCCCCTTTGTTTTCTCTTTTCCCTGCTTCCCATCTCTCTAATCCTCTTCCTGCTCTGTCACTCTCTCTTTCCTCCAATCTGTCTCTACTTCCTTCCCCCACTTCCACGGGCCTGACCCTGGCTTTGTTCCAGGGCGGGTGGATGGCAGGAGGTTGTCCAGATGTTTTACTCCCAGAGGACAGCAGAGCGCTCACGCTCATCACGGCCTTCAACCTGGCGGCCGCACTCGAGCTCTTAGGCTTCGTTGTTGAACCACCCTCTGACGCTTGTTTTTTGTCGCCCACAGTTCTTGGGGCTCCTGGGGTCTTCCTTGAGGGCTCGTGAGAAGGTGGAGGACGTTGCTGGAGGTAGGCAGGGGGTGGCGCTAATCTACCTCCTTGAAACTGTCTCCTCACCTGTTGTCATGATGATATTAGTCCAAAACCAAATAAGAACATTAAGGAAAGTAACAAATGAGACATGTAAACTGCAAAACTATTAATATCAGCAGTATTATTAGGAGCAAGCATTAACCTTGTACCTCCCTATTCTGATACTATGAAAGGTTACAAAATATGAACATGTCATAGATATCTTTTGTCATTGTGGTTATTTTCAGAGAATACCCTGTTGTAAAACAAGTAAAACAAAAAAAATCCAGGAACGATGCATGATGCATTAAAGGAACAGTCCCACATTTTGGGAAGTGTGCTCATTTGATAAAATACAATCCAGGAAGTCCAGAAATAGATCCATGAGTCTGAAGGCTTATGGACATTATACTACAATTGTACAACTCTGGAAAGTTATCACAACAACATTTATTTTATATTTTGTTGCGATGATGAGATACCACATTCAATTTTCCCACGTAATCTACCACAAATGTGTGCTTGCACGTATTTGATTGGCCACCACAGTGCTGTGTCACTGCAAAAGTTAAACCAGGTTCAACCTTTTTTTTTGCTGGACCCCCCGACCTGCGTTGGCACCCTCACTGTGTCGCTGGCTTAATTAATTCAGGAGCTTCAGAGGTGCTAGTAGGCGGATTTTGTTATCTTTGTGCAGAGCCAGACTGTTTTCCCTTTTTTCTTAATGCTAAGCTAAGCTAATCAGCTTCTGGCTGTAGCTTCATATACTGTATATTATACAGACATCAGAGTGGTATTCATCTTCTTAACTAAATCTGAGCAAGAAAGAGAATGAATGAATTTCCCAAAATGTTGAAACAGTTTCTTTGAATTGATGGGGTGACCCAACCTTCAAAGCAACCTAACAGTGTGATCATTTTTTTGAAAACTATATATGCTGAATTTTGTTGAAAGGGTTTAAACATCAAAAAGGCAGACTGCAAGAGCACTTTAAGTTTGTAATGCCTGAACTATAATTTAATTTAGTACTTTCACCACATTAATGTTTTGTCCCCACTGGAATACTTTGCAAAATCAATAAATGCCACTGTGATCAACAAGTTCTCCTCATTGCACAGCATGGATGCTGTTAGGAAATGTCTAAAGGTTTCTCTTCTGTTCTTTTACCTCTCCTTCAGACTCCTGTGGGCTGTAGTAGTAGCTGCCGTCATCATCAACAACAACTTCTCCATATTCATCATAGAGACCAGAGGGGGAGATCAGCTTCCTGCGACTGCCGTACTGAGGAAGGTCATACCTGGACAGAGAGGGGGGGGAGAAATAAAACCAGAGCTTCACAGATAAGCAGTAATAATGCAGGAATAGCAAATTCTCAAATTCACTACTATATTCATTTTTAATGGGATTTTTTCTCTGGAGCAACAGAGTTTTGGTATGTGTAATAATAATAAATAAACAAAAGCTGTGGTATTGTCCGACAGCTTGGCCCAATCAGTAGTGAAGACAGGAGGGAAATCTGCTGTACAAACCAAACTGTTGCACTTGGCTAATGCTTAGCCACTTAAAGCAATAACACACAGGGCAACAACGTGGTTCACTCCAATGATAAGAAGTGTCTAATGACTTGCCTAAGCAAAGCTGCCTTAATCACAAAGGGAGCATTTTGTTGCCAGGAGACATTTTGTTAGCAGACAACATTGGAATCGATTTCCTTCCCCTTTGTCTCTCTTTGTTGCCTGTTGCCGGGAGCGCTGCCTCGCTCCACCTGCCAAAAAACTGTGTTGTGTATCACCGCTCCGGCTCCATGCCCTGCAGCAAGCAACTTGGTAGAGCCAGTGGGTCAAAAAACACATCTTTTCAAATGCTATCCTGGAAACAATATGTCCCAGTGTGATTAAAGTAACACATCTGCTGTAAGTCCTTTGGCTTGGTTCTGTAACAGAGTTGTACAGAAAAGTTGCCTCACGTAATCACTTTCCTTACAGTCAACTGGTGGGAGAAGCTGCCCTCCCTATTACATTAAGTAATCAAGTAATAAAGAAATGGAACTGGCAAGTGGATGACTGATGTGTGTGGGTGAGAAGAGGCGGAGGAGGTAGAGGTGTGATAGGGATGGGACAGAAAGGAGTGAACAATGGCAGGGTCGAAACAGAACAACCAGGTCAGTCAAAAAAGTTTCACAGTTATGATCCTGAGAGTGTGGCCTCTGTGAGCTAATGTAATGAGCTTCAACTAAAACCTGCTTATTGGGTTTTACAGTCATTAACCTACAGACTCAAACTGAAATACACACACAATCAAATCACTTAAAGGCTACAGTAACTCTTTGCTTAGATTTTCTTCCTTCCAAGTGGTCTTTTCTCCCTTCACTATGTCCTCCCTCTCTGCATCTCACCACTAGGGGGCAGTAATAAACTGGGAATTAGTTCATGCACTTCAAAGTTGCCAGAATCACTAGCATTACAGCCAAGACTCGATGGTGTGGCTTTGTAGCCGTGTGTGTTTGTACGGACCAAATTGGGTCACTGGCCTGTTTCAGATGGATTTCCAAATGCTAAATGATTGTTTAATGGTCAGTCCCAGGACGGGTGATCACATTCACACAGTCAGAGGCCTCCACATGACAAAGAGTACTAGTCCTGTATGCTTTAATAGCCTTTAAAAGTCACTGGATGAGAAAATAAAACCAATTTCCGATTCCCAAATGAAACTAAATACATTTTGCTTAGTTTCATAATTGCCAGCTTGAATTAATCTACAGCTTTGTTACAAAATGAAACATTAGGATTGAAAAAGGTTCTGCATATTCTTACGCATGTAGAGAAAATGAATGATATTTCTCAAAGCACAATAGCTATTTTTGAGTTAAGAATTTTGAGTTTGTTTTAATAATGGATACTTTGTTTGGCTATTACATCTTATAAGGGGGAGTCTATCAACTTTATATGTTAAAGTCAATTTACTAATCATGGTAAATACTTGTAATACTTGTAAAAGTAATTGTACAGAGTTTTTCTGTGGCTTTGCAGTGAGATGTGAATTATTCAAGTTATTCAACTTGAATGGGCTCAGCATGGACTTCGACACCACATACTTTTAACATCAAGTGTTACATACTGGCAGTAGGAGATTGAAAGAAGTGGTCATTTCCCAGAAAGAGGGGCTTTAAAGAAAATGCTATTTAGTTGCACTATGGGAGGTCTAAGGCAAAATGTATTTGGAGCTCGAAGCATGCGAGTCATGAGCTGCTCTCGACCTCTGCTGTTTTTATTTGACCGTTATTTTCTTGATCTGTCTCTCGCAAATCTCCCAACCGTTATTATGTGCAAAGGGCATGAAGACAAAACAGTTTCACATTTTGGGAAAAACACTTATTTACCCTATTTGATACCACTCTCCTAACTGTTAAATATGCTGAAGCGAGGAGACTGTTCCTCCAGTAAAACCACAACTTGTTCTTTCTTCAGTTTTGGTACAGATTGCAGAAATGAGATATAAAGTCCAGGACAGAAGGACTCTACAGTGGGTGATTAAAACCGCCCAGAAGATCATTGGTACTCAGCTACTCAGCATCAGTGATATCGGTGAGGTGAAGTGTCTGCGCAGAGCCCAAAGGATTCTAAAACAGCACCCACCCCACCCACAGCCTGTTCACCCCACTGCCATCTGGTAAGAGGTACAGAAGCTTCCGCTGCCGTACCACCAGACTTAAAGACAACAAGTATTTAATTTTTCATGACTCATGAATACATTTTTATTTTGTTTTTAAAAGTAGCATAAATGGAAATATATCTAAATTTCATTTTACAACCTTGCATTGTAAATAACTATAAAATTACCTTAAATCCTTAATTATTGAGCTTTTGACGTGCCGGTTGGGCAAAGCCAGGCTAGCACTCATGCTAAGCTAACCTACCTGCCTTCATACTCAATGTACAGAGTGGTATCATTGTCTCATCTAACTCTCTGCAAGAAAGCAAATAAGAATGTTTCCCAAAATGTTCAACCAGCCCTTTAATATTATTTCCCATTTGAATGTATTCATACACATTATACCCTGCCCTAAATCAGCTGGACATGCAGACTTCTAAACTACTCTTCTTTTTGTTCTCACCTTTGTCCTCCTACTGTTTACAACATGAAAACTGTATCTTCATTGAGCTCATAATCCCAGATTTCACCCTCCCCATCCTATATTTTTATGTGGGTGCCCTAACTCAGCACCTATCATCTTTGTGACAGTCACACTGCTCATCACCCACGCCAGTAACGATTTTGGAAAAGCAAGATTTAATCCCTTATTGCTCTGTGGCGTGTATGGGTTGAGTATTTTACTCTTGACTAGAGGGCAACATGAATTTGGCTTGTTTTATTGTGTTTGTTGCTGTTGTTTTTTTGCAGACATACATCAGAATATCAGACCCGTGCAACAAATGGTTGAAGTTATTTTCTGAATCTGTATAAATCCAATCAGACACATACCAATGGCAGATGGCTACATTCCCACATGCAGAGAAAATCCCATTTTGATTTCATATTTTGAAGACAGATGAAAGGAGAGGTCAAAAGGTTATAACCTGTCCTTCCATAAGGTTTCCAACTGGATTACTATGGCTATGGAAGTGAATACTGGAGCAGCTGCTGTCTATTTCTTAAGAAACAAAACAGTCTTAACTCTGAAAACTTTGTTTACGTCCGTCCTAAGAGGCGGTTTAGCATTTCTTAACATGGTCTTGAAAAAAAAAAAACGCTGTACCTTTCATTTACAACTGCAACAAATAAAGTGATTACATCTGAGTCCCACCGGGTCACAAAGTCTGATTTCCCGCTCCTGTGTATGTACAGAGTCAGACATGAGTTTGTAGATGTTGCTCTAAGCCAACAGCATCTGGCCCATTGTCTGCCTCCACGGCTGGCTGCCTGATTAGCTGCTACAGTATTGCAAGGCAGATAGAATTAGCGCTGTGTGTGTGTGTGTGTGTGTGTGTGTGTGTGTGTGTGTGTGTGTGTGTGTGTGTGTGTGTGTGTGTGTGTGTGTGTGTGTGTGTGTGTGCGCGCATGTGTGTGAAAGAAAGAATAAGCAAGAAAGCATTTCTGAGTGAGTGTTAGAGTGAGGGAGTGAATGAATGTGTTTGCCATGAGAGAATTTATGTGTTGTGTGTGTGTCTGTGCGTGTGTGTGTGTGTGTGTGTGTGTGTGTGTGTGTTACTGTGTATTTATGTGTGAGTGTGGGTGGGCGTATAAAATCAAGTTCCCGGGAGTCTGCAGCTAAAATTATAAAAATTACACAATGCATCACAGATGGCAGCCTGGGTGCAGAATCATACTCACACACACACACACACACACACACACACACACACACACACACACACACGGGAAGGATGCAATAAGTCTTCAGAGGTCTTGTTTCATGAGCACTTTGATCTAATGTGTCTGTATGCGTGTGTTCAATATACTGACATTCCTATATAGTATTTCTTGCCTTTTCAACATCAAGCCACCATATTGTGTGACTGACACGGTCAGCTTGATATCAAAGCAGATGCCATGGGGCTGACATGAGACTCAGCTGGATAAAGTGCGCACCGTGAACTCTAGACTCATGTAGGAGGAAATGTATTTTATAAATGTTGTCGGCCACTGCTAAAGGTCGAAGGTCAGAGATGAAACATAGTGGAGACAGCCTGTATTCACTGCCCTCAGTATCTGTTCTACTGTGTCTGCTTGTAAATAATGCATGTATAATACTGCATTGTATTATACTCTAAGAACTCTAAACTGCTTGGGAACAATATGAAATACCATAAAAACATCACTATTATCCACACTGTTCTGTTTATGCAGCTGTGACTGGCTATTAAGCTATTTTTGAGAAAATGATAAATGTATTAGGAGTATAACTTTTAGGGCAGGGAAAAAGGTTGAAACCAGTATCATGATATTAATAAGAATACATTCTGAAATGGATACAAATGTCATAAACCATATTCCATTATTATTGATAACGCCTTTTTATGAGCAAAACCAAAGCTTCAGTAACTAATTTTGTCTCTTTGGTTTATTCAACAGAAAGTTGTCGAACAATAGCATATGCTCATATCAACACAATACAAGTCCACGTGAATATGAATTAAACTGAATTACAACTCAGCCATACTGTTTTTATCAGAGGGTCTGTGGCTGAGTTGATGAAGGACAACACATGTGAGCACTAGACACCTACATTTTCATGACAACTGGGCAACTCCATCTGCGGAGGAAAATAATTCGATACAATAGAAAGCTCTGGGACAAGTGGACTCCCTGTGGTCAACTACAATACAATTTGTTTCCTCAGATTAAGTTAATTTGTGTTCAGAAAAAGCAAAGCTTCAAAAGCATCAAGCATATGAGTGTGTATGTACAACGTACAGTATGTTAAGCTTACAGACATATTAGCACAATATGCCCTATATGCACATGTAGTGATACAAGGATGTGCAGGGAACTATTCAGAAATACATACCCATGATCATAGTTGTAATAATCTTGAGTGTAGTAATCCTGGCCGGGGTCAATGCCAGATTCCATTGATAACTCCTGTTAAATGGACAGACATTTATTAGCAGTTTTCCACACATTGTCCACAGACAGACAGACATACATGCCTACGAGTACACCCGCACAAATCCATACAAACACTCACATTCACATATACCTACTTATTTAAAACTGCATGAGAAATTGCACCTTTTCACCTCTGATTAAATTGACAGCGCTTACACAAACCCACACACCCATGCAGAAACACACATTGGGAAGTGAGAAAGTATAGAAGAGAGAGATAGGGTACCTCTGGTCTGAGCAGAGAAGGTCGGAGAAGTTGTTGTGTCTGCCAGAGGGAAAGAAAAGCGGCCAATGACAAGACGAATGGAAGAAGTTATGAGCTCTCCCCCAAAAATGGTATACATCTATTTTGGAAACGTAAAATCAATACCCGATGGTCCTCGTTCAATATCGCTAGAATGCCGATGGTCGTGTCTGTGTATTGGTGCAGTCAGTCAGGTACAAGTTTAAAAATGTATGTCAGAGTGATTGGGGATAGATATTCACCAACTAAAAAGTCAGTGTTAATGAGCTACTTTTTATTCAACAGTAAGACCTCTATTACATGCTCCACCATTGCTGTGGTAGATATTGAACAATGACCAAAAATTATTTTCCAACATGTCTCTATATCTCTCCACTGTTATGGAATAAAGATTTTTGAAGATTAACAGTAAGTCCAGGTTTTTGGATTTTAAAAAATTGGTTGACTTTCTTTATCAATGTCTGTGTTTTTTTTTTTTATATTTTAATACGCACCATCAATGGACTGCAGAGGTCTTAATTTTTATTTTTTATAAATGGGAGACTAATTATGTAGATCCAATAAATTTTAGATACAAGGCACTGATTACATGCTGCTCCGTCTTGATTACATCAAACAGAAAGAGAACAGAAAGAGCAGTAACAATGAAGGGTACCACTAAACATCAGAGGAAAAAAGAAACACGCATGCAACTATATAGCACACATACACACAGGGAAAGACACCTACCTCATGTTGTCCATATCCACGCCTGGAAGATCAAAGAGAAAAACAGAAAGACCACTAACCAACAGCACCAAGAAAACCTGTCATTAAACATAATCCTCCTGATGTAGACACGTCTTTAATACATGTCAGCACTTTGCTGTGCATTTTCTGTACTGCAGAGGAAATGGGATGTTTAAATAAAGACCCAAATGGAAGTGGCCGCTGGAAATGTATCACATTTTGTTAAATGTAACCCAGTTTCCAAGAAGAAAGCAAGAAGATGAGATGTGTGTGAGTGTATGTATGGGAGTGTGTGTATTTTAAGATAAATGGAGAGACTATGGGAGGGCTATGTAAGACAAAAATAAAAAAGACTAAAGGACAAAACAAAATGAGAAAGCTGAGAAACTACGGTATGCCATTTCCGCACTGACATTCACTGTTTATTTTGTTGCATTATTCTCGTAAATATTCTGATTATAGCTTCACAAATATATAATAATCACATCCCATTTACAACCCAAATGAGCTCATCCTATTGTTGAGAAAACCCATAGATGGGGTATGTCCATATTAGCCACAACAATAATAACGCCATATTTCAATTACTGTGTAATTTGTGATTGTGTTTAATAGGTGGGATGTTTTATTCATGAGTATAAGGCCTATTTATTCTCAGGATCTGACTAGATACACACAACACATGCAGGTAGAATTTAAATCGGTGCGTGTAAACACAGTGTTTAGAATAAATTCGCTACTTTCCTGGTACACACTCTAAACTTTAACAGTCAACAGATGTCAGCTTGAGTTTAGCAGCACTTAGCAATCAAAAGAAACCTGTCCAACCTTCCCTTTCCGAAGTACTCCCTGTCGACTCCAATCAACCTTTTTTGCTGTCAGGGCAGGGGTCCAATAACAGTCCACCTTTTAAACTGCTTGGTCTCCTATTTAACCATTTCCTTTTTCGGTTTAGGAACAGACATTTTGGTGTCAGGTGCATCAAAAACTCAATGATATTCTCTTGAGGGCCAGATATGGCCACCAGTAGTTCATGACCTGTTTTAGTAGTAATCAAATTTTCTCAACGAATGAGCTTTGGAGATCAGTGTTTTTTGAGCTGATAACAATTAAAGAGGAATTATGGTTTTTAATTAAGTGTTTAAGTGTCCACCATTGAGGTAGGATATGTTTCACAGGCAGAGATGTGGTAATAAAGTCATTATTAGAGCATTGTATTCCTGTCCATTTTTCATGTGATTGTTATGGACTGCATGCTCCTACACCAGAAAAGATTCCAGTATGCTTTCAATAAGCAGGAAAATAGTCTAACAGTACAGCGGCACTGAGCAAATTGAAATTCTTTCTGAACATTTGAACATTTCCTGTGAGACAGGACCCTTCACCCGGTCTGGCTAATTTTTCATAACCCTAAAAGCACTCAGAGAACCTTTGCTTATGTTTCGTTCAGCTCAAGTCCGGCCCATAATTACTCTTGGCTTAGTTTGACATCAAGTGAAGACAGAAAATCAAACTCCAAAGAAGATGCTCTCAAGTACTTATCAGAAGGGCATAATTATGTCAGCTAAATTGTCTGCAGGAGGCCGTAGGCTATATGCATTAACTTAAAGCTATGCACGGCCTGTTATTGTACTATTACATTTTAATTATTATGTTGTTGTGTCTGTGTTAAAATGTAAAAAATGACAAGTTGTGATTTTATGAGCAACCAGTGGCAAATTGCTAGCTACCACAGGCTGACTGTTTCTCCCATTGCTTCCACTTTCTGTGCTAATCCAAGCTAACTGCAAGCTGTATATAGCTTCATATTTGCTGTACAGAAGAATGGTTTAAAATGTAAATCCTTGGCAAGAAATCAATTTTTTCCCCCAAAATGCCAAGCTATTCCTTTAAGATCCTATCCTTCAGCCTGACATTAATACATTTTGAACAATAAATTCTGACAGTTCATTTCACCACATATCAGAGTGGGTAATTCCAGCAGCCAAGTTGATGATAGTATGATCAAATAAGCTTGATACTGTTTACAGTACTGTGAAATTAAGACTTACTGTTCTGAGAAAACAAACAAGGACAGTAAGACAAAGAGGGAAACAAGGGAAAAAGCCAAAGAGAAAAAAAAAACCTGAAAAAGAAATAAATAGCAAACTAAGACAAACAGCCAAATATGTTTCCGTCCATGCGTCTTAACTATGTTGCCAGCAGGACGTATTGTAATGTGAAACCAAGGTAATGAGCTGGCCAAATGAAGATGTATCGCAGAACAACAAATGGTGACTTTTAGAGGACACGTCACATTCTACTTTCTGTTATCAGAGTGCAAACACACAGAGGCGCACACACAAATTATTAAACCACTTGAGCATTTCATTACATAAATTCAAATGAGAATAACTGTGCCCCGTAGAACACACAAAGATACAGACGAGAAACGCTGGCTTTTCATTCAGTATCAAAATGCAGTTTTAAAGGAGTGAGTGTGCTTTAGAAAGATAAGAATATGTGGTTAAATAAAGGTGTGGAAGGAAGGCTGGGTGGATGCACTGACGGACATATCAGTGGATGAATAGTGAAAGGCTGAATGGGCGAATGAATGCGTAGATGAAAAGGTTGATTTTTTGAGAGTGCTCTACAGGTTAGAACGAGGATCACCATCACTGTGTGTGTGTGTTCAACTGTGTGTACAGTCTCCACATTATAGCTGCCAGCAGTATGTGCCTAGCATTGTGTATGGTGTAATCTGTGTTTGTGTGTGTGTCAGAGTGTGGAGATAAGTCTATCTCCGTGTCCTTGTTGCTCTGACAGACACATTATTAGGTCCTCTCGAGACAAAAAACACACAGACAGCTCTCTGATGTCACACACGCAGACACACACATCTGATGTGATTGACTCTCGCTCTTTGTGTCCTCTCCACCTTGTCTTGCCATGTGTATGAGAAAGACAGGAGAGAAATATTATTAGCTCTTAAAGAACAGACTCAGACTGTAACACCCAATAACACTCTCTTTTCTATTTCTTTCTTACATTTTGTTTCTGTCTTCTCTCTCATAGAGCTACTGTAGCTCCCTCGCCCTTTGCACTGGCACTTTGCCACTCCTCCACTCATTTGTTACTTCCTTTTTCTCCTACCTGTTTCACTCAGTCTGCTTATTTCAGCCTTTTCTTACTCCACAAGCCCTTATTTCTCTCTTTTTTTGTACATTCTTGCACTACGGCTGCATGTTATGTAGAAAACAACTTCAGAAATAACCAGGTCTTTTCACGTTCCCAGAATAAACCTGTATGAAGGAAAGTAAACCATCAGTAAGTCACGTTGTACTTCAAATGTGGTGAGAGACGAGATCCAATTCAGAGAAATAGCCACGTTCCAGTTTCAAATAACTTAAGATTTATACGGTATTATATGGTATAGAATAAAATTCCTTTGACATTTCCAAGGTTCAAATTTACCTAATCCTACACTGAATTGATTTACACCGTATCACAACAAAACTCCCACAACCATTATTCTATTTTTATAGCTATTGAGTCAACACCTAGTACTCAGATACAACAGCTTACAACTTGCATCTTATTTTGGAGTTTTGGCCATCATTTCTGTTGGTTATAGTAACACTAACTAAGTGAGATCAGGGGACCCAGTGACAATGCAACAAAACAAAGTCTGATGGAACGATCAGACAGGTTGTAAACAAGAGTAAGAGTCTAACAGCCATGTTAGGGGCTCTGTGAGGCTGTACTTAGACACGGTGTTTTGAGATAAACTGATGTAACCAGCACACTGACATGCTCAAAGAGAGGAGACGATGCTAACATGCTGATATTTAGCAGATTTAATGTTTACCGTGTTCAACATCACAGTTTAGTGAGTGGGCTTGCTAATATTTATCACTAGACACTATAACTGAGGATGATGGAAATGTCAGTTTTTCACAAATTTGGTCATTAAGAAATTAATATTTTGATCTGGAGGTGCTGCAGTAGCTCACCTAGTAGAGGTTGACTTGCTTACCGCTGCTGCCTGGGTTAGATTCTAGTACACGACCCTAGGCTGCATGTCATGTCCTGTCTCTTTCTCCTGCCTGTCTTCAGCTTCACAATCAAATAAAGATTGCAAAAATAAATAAATAAAAAATGTTGGCACTAGCCGACGAGTTAGGGGATCAGGGGGAAAGTAATAACAGTGTCAGCCTGATGAGGGAAAGAGAGGTTCAACAAAATCATAGTCATTTGTGGGCGCCATAAATGTCTGTACAAAATTGACCTAAAAATTGAGAGTTGAAGGATTCATCCTCTTTCATCCGCCATTGGTGTCTGGTATCTGGTATGATATAGATATTTAAGTTACATTAGAGTGATTGACCAACTGACAGATCCACATCGCAGCCATGCTGCTAGAGCTGCTAACAAGCCAACAGATTAGCCACATTATCTAAATCAATTGATAATTCATCATTATACAGGAAAACTGTAAATACTGTACGTCAAAGCCGGTTTGCACACTGTGATGGATGATTTTGAGTCATTCACTGTTTTCTCTTCCAAATAAGCATTAAGTTAAAATAAACCTGGGGTTCGTTTAAACCCCACATGATCACCTGATTGCTCGTTTCCTGCACCGTCTGACTTCTTTATATGCAATGTCAGCTTACTCCCAGATCTTTGTAAATACATTGTTAATACTGATAGAACTGGTGGCAAAAACCATGAAAATGAGATGTAAGTTGTTGTAAACCTAAAGTATCCATTAAGGTTTAAAGAGTCTTAATGTCAGACACACATGTCAAAGTAATCACCATTTACTATAGCATATTATAATTTTATTTGCTGCATATCATGACTATTTGCTGCTTCAGTGACCACATTTCCCATGATAATCTTTGCTGTAGCGAGGATCAAACCTGTGTGTTAACAACTGCAAGACAGCCGCTCTCTTGCTACGTCTTGTATCTGTGTTTCTCAATTCAGTTTCAATTGAATGCAGTCTGCTTTGCTGAACGTTGTAAACAATACATATTC